GCTGCTGTCTTGAATTGTTCTCTCCGGACCACGTAAACGACAGTGATATGACAAGTGGGAAAGTATCTTTATCGGGCATTAAGAGTCGTTTTAATGTTAATCCGGCAAACCAGAGTGAGGATTTAGTCTAAACATAATTGTCAGTTTTGAAATATTAACTCGTGTTCCTTAAACGTCATAAGGTCGTGTGTATTGTGATGTCACAGGGGCAGCAAATGCGGTTTTCCAAGAATACCGGATAAAGTATCCAAGTGACGTGTCTGCTTTATTTGGGATTTATAAAACTCGGCGGGCTGAAATGAAAAACACAAAAGCCTTCGTCATGTTTCAGAAATTTCATGAATAGATGTTTTGAAGGTCCTCTGTCTACATAATGCACGTCCATAGTGGGTCAACTTGACAGTTTAGCTTTAAAACACCACACTACAGCAACCCCACTCCCTGCCCATCCCTCACATACCCTGCCCCTCCTCCCCCACACAAACCCATATAATAGGGAGGTTTCAATTTGACTGTCCGTGAAGAAAAAGTAAAACCAGGGAGAATGTGTTTACGTTATAAAGTTATTTCCATACACGTCACTGAACTTGAAAAAACAGTCTACGTACTATCTTGTGTGCTGCTTTAGGCTAGCTACTAGCATATGAGATAAGCTATTTTAAGAAATATCCCGCTGCACTGGAATACTGGCTCATCGTGAAACTCCACATATATCTACGTTTATATGCATACTTTTGTATATATAAATATTTGTATATATATAGATATATATACATGATTCAGATAACTGCTTTAGAACCATGAGAAATAATACATGTAGCCTGACAGACATATATATCTATCTGAAGGTTGTGGGCTCCAATCCGTGTCCTGTGTAACCCCGAATGAAACTGGCACCTGTGCACTAAGTCCATCCACGTCAGCAGGCCGTTCTACAGTAGACTGTTAATTCCATTATTCTGTCTAACCGACAAATGTCCTTTTCATTTCATCATCACATTTTTTTTTATTGTTATTACTATTTCAAAACGGCGAATCCGAACATCTGCAATGCAGACTGACACACATGAACGAACTGCAGACGTACACTGTCTGCACGCATACAAGGAATATTATGAATGGAGGTCGCCACACCTTCAATTGGTCACGTGGGAATCATCTCGTTCAAAATTCACACAACTCGTTTACATATTTAGGGTCCCCTGAATGAGTATCGGGTTTGTAAATATTCAACAAAGCCTGCCGAAATGAAACACGCTATCGAAAGTTATGGCAAGCTACTGGAAAAAATAGCAATAAGATACAGGTTTTATCTGTTAATCTATTTTCCTGGATAGAAATTATTCACGAGACTATGCTTTATTTCTTTAAAGTGAGCAATAACTTCACGTTTAATTCTCATATTTATAATTAGTAATGAGGAAACAGCACGGACTTCGATATAGAATCCAAGCCCTACATATAGATGGCATCAAAAACGTATTTGTTGTTTATGTCTCTGATATAGGAATATAAGTTGTTGAATGTTAATTTCATGCAATGTTTAATTGAAGTAAAAATAAATAAAGAAATATCTTGAAAGAGATAAAGCAGTATGTTTATGTAGGTCAATTACACTTCAGTGAAATTCTTCATTCTTCAAAGCGAATGATTCGTCATATATTTTTGCACTTAAAAGTAATAAGTTAAGATGGATATTCAACCAATATATTCATGCATCTTGCCGAAATCACGTCATGGCACCTGCTGGTTTGTCACTGATCTATACGTAGAGCAGAGGTGTTTCACTGAACAAACAAAACCAACAAAGAAAAGAAAACGAACAAACAAACAAATAGAGTGATTATTATTATACCTAGTGTAAAATACAATCAACTGTTAGTAAGTACTTTAGTACAAACCTCAATGTAGTTTAGATGTGCATTGTCAACAAGATGTGTTTATGAAACACTTTGCCCGCGGTTGCAACAAAATTCTGAAGTGGGACATTAAAACTGTACTGTGTAAGTCATATGCTAATTGCATGTACAATTTTTCAAAAGTAGGTCAAAGATCACGGTCAAGGTCATATGGTCAAACATTTTGGTACCACCTCTTACGGTGCACAAAAGCAATATGCCCCCCCACCCTTTCGATCCGGGTGCATAAAACAGCAACACTCAAAGTACGGATGTGCGTTTATCATGTCACGTGACCTGTTCTTTTATCTGGAGGAGATTTCAGGCTTCTGTTTTTCAACCGCACTTCACTTCCTCTTGAACTGACAATAACATTTGTCACGTGCTTTATGATGATAATAATAATAATAATTATAGGGCGTATTATAATGATATTTTATTTAAACATGGACTTAGATATAACAGAAATTAACCAGTTTTAACGAATCTGGCATACGGACCCTATTCACAAATCTACCGTTATGTAGGTACATGCATATTTTTTGTAGATCAGAAACGATGGACATTGGTTGCAAATTCAATCATCAAAAAAGAACCATTTAACACGGTATAAACTGACATGGCACAGATACCAGTGAACTGAGTAACGGGGACGTAGATAACTTATCTACGTCCTTGTGAGTAAAAATCGTTGTATTGTATTGTTACTCAAATTATTGAATTAAAACGGGACATGATTGATCCGACATATGTATGAAGATGTTTAATTATTGGATATGATATGATTAGACGTCCCTGACTGAAGACAGAAATGAAATAAAACAAAATAAAGAGGAGCATTCCATACTATTAATAATCTCTTATAGATTTACTTAGCATGTAGAGACTGGTCAAGTCAAGCTTATGAATCTTCCCCATCTGAAACGTATACATTTGTAATGTAAAATATATTTTTGTTTAATTTGTTTTTCACAAATAATATATAATTAACCTTTTGGTCTGATTTTGGAATGTTTATGTATTTTTAGACTAATTCGTCTTCACCTAATGTCAGATGATACATTTTATCATACATCTAAGTTTTTAGAGTCGACTGCTTTCAGGTTAATAGAACATTTACAATGTGTTTTTTTTTCAGATTTCCGCTGAAACTGAGAACGAAATTGGATGAACGAATGGTCAAGGACGTTTAATATGTACCTGGTATAAGTAATATAATGTTTGAATAAAGCTAACCAGCCTTTGAACAATAAAACCCAGAACTCTTCTAAGTTGGAGGTAAGAAAATTGAGTAACGTTTCCGGGTAAACATTTTGCATGTGGAAAAGGTTGAGTTGAAAAGTTAATCGACGGTATGTATTTTAGTGATTTCTTTAGAGAATTACGGAATTTAAATATTTTTCTCGCCAAATACTTCAAGTAGTCAACTTTCAATAGATAAATGCTTACGTTGAATTTTAAACCTCAAACATATAACTAGCCGGTTAACTTAACTTTATCCTTGTCGCATTAGTTTCGGACCCTTTAATAATCGTATTTCGCTTGCAACGCTACATCGACAAGTTGCAAACAAAGAGGTAAATGTATTTAATGTGTTCATACTATGAAATTTATTTGATTAAATGATCAGTGAAACGCCATTTTTTACTGAAAGATATCCACAAATTTAAACACGACTTCAAATTCGCTCAACTGAAATGACAGATATGTCTATTGGAAATGTGATTACGCTTCCGTTTGAAGTGATATCACTGAATCACAGAAACGTTTGATTTACCCTAACATTGGCCCAAAAATGCACAAAATTCACTCAAAATCACCATTTAAAACTTTTCGTACCACGAAAGTTTCAAATAGGTATCTTCCACATGTGCCAATCTTTAACCCACATGTTAAATTTAATCAGAAATCAGTTATGAAAATTGATCATTCTAAAACCATCATTTTTCCAATGTGATATTAGCTTGTTTGGACTTCCATCGGAAGAAAGGCAAGGATGTGTGGCGTATTATTCATGGCCAATTTTTTATTCACTTGACAGATGACAACAAAACACTGGCATCTGAGGAAGGATTGATGAGTTGTATTATGATATCTTGGAGGATGTTTGACATGTAAAAAAGTGTGTTTAAAAAAATTACCCAAATTTGCCAATAGAATAAATGCTCATATTTTATGATGAATGCAGGATTCAATCAAAGCTTTTGTATTTTTAGGAAAGCATCTTATGTTACAGTAATCAAAATCATCTGGGTTCTAGATCACTCAAAAGTTCTGGTAATACATTTCAACGAAATTATCATACCAAAATATATATCAAGCGGAACCGGTGTCTAGGTAATATATATATCATTATGAAAAGCCAAATCATGTAACACAACATGTGTTGGTATCGTAAGCTAAATTAATTCTGTCTACATTTCACAATATTTTACATGTGGTGTATTTCTATCACAATCAATTTAGGGCATCCATATATACATTGAGTGTCCCAAATGTACAATGATTTTAGCTTAAAATGTTGATTAGCAGGAATAGCATATACTGACAACTGTGTAATGTCTAACCTAAGAAGGAGGTAGATATCTAGATATACAATGAGGAATGGGAAACTGGATTCAGGGTTTTCCATAAGAGCTGTTCGCCGGCCAATTTGACCGGCTACTTTGATCATTTGGCCGCCTACACCTATCCAGTTCCGTAATAATGTTCCGCACACGTACACAGCAGGCCAGCCTCCTACTTTCACTACACAGCCTACTAGTAACTAAATTATGGAAAACCCTATGGATTACATATATTATAGGTCAGGAGTGCAATGACTACCGGTATATAAACAGGAAAGATCAATTGATGTTTAGCCCGAACGGTCTGTTCAGGGTTGTAACGGATTTATTAAGGAATTGATGTAACATGTTTAATCTAATTTAAAATAAACTGATACGATACATGTACATTTTTGTTTTCAGATTTTGAGGAGATTCACATAAACATGATGGTTTGATGTGCTCTACAGAATCACATACCAAGACAGATCATGGCATAAAGTCTGTCTTCAAATCAAGATGTTGGAATCAATTTAGATAGACACTGGTGGACGCCATGAAGCACAATGTTTGGTAAGGAATTTATCAGCACCTGATGACACTGTAAGAGGTATTGACAACAAAATGTGGTGGCATTTTATTAGCCTATTGTCAATCTGATGATGACTGCTGATAAAATGCCACCAAGTCCATGGATCATTCCGTCTGTCTTTGAACGATTCTTGTTATCGCTATTTCTTGAGAAGTACTGGATGGATAATTTTCATATTTGGTATGTATAGTTTCCCCTTGGATGTGAATTATCTCCCTTTGGGACTAATCTGAAAAACAAAATGGCTGACAGCCAGATTTTGACAGTTAATCCTTTTTTATAAGAAGGCTCACCTTGATCCCTAATTGTGCATAGTCCATTTTGAAACTCATCAGAAAAACAAGATGGATGACAGGCAGCGGTCTGTGTTTTCATTTTTATAATTTATTATTGTATTTTTTTTTTTTCAAAGTATTGTATGGAATCTTTCTCAAATTTCTTATGTAGGTTCCCTTTGGTCTTTGTTGTGCCTGCTTGAATTTAGGATGCTAATAGGCAACCATCTTGGATTTTGAATATGAACATTTGTTATAGCTATTTCTTGAGAAGTACTGGATGGATTATTGTTAGCTTCAATAAATAAGTTTCAGTTGGTCCTGGTTGTGCTTTTTTGATTTTATAATTGATTAAAAAACCCAACATAGCCAACAAATGTTCATCTTGGATGAACTATTATGATCCAGGTTTCATTTACTTGTCATGTTGAAAACACCAGTCTTCTCATTGTTTTAACATCACAGATTCATGGTACTGTCAGTTAATCAGAACCAACTTCAACCAGGGCAACTTCTCAGGTAGCAGAGAGCATGAACCATACTTTATGTTGTCATGGTGATATTCTTGAGTGAGACATTTTACTGAGGTTGCTTTGAATAATGTGGTGGACCTTTTCCATTGTATTCACTTAAGTAGTCACCAGTTACTACAAGGAAACCTTGCCTGAAAGTTGCCCTATAGCTAGTCTGTCACAGGATGATGGACAAGTCAACCAAGCAAAAACCATGATTTGAAGCATTTTTGGTTATACAACTTATTCCAACTTTAAACTGTTTTCTGTGAAATATTTCAGGAAACAAGCAAACATATTCAGAACTATTGGTTATTTGAATAGATATATTTCAATATTTCAGATTTGGCCTTGTAACTTGATTGGATAACTCTCTGTTGAACAATGTTAAAGTAACTTGCATTATAACCTACAAATTTTCAGCATGGTGTCTGACTTTTTCTTCCCAAACATGGGAGGAGTGGAGAGTCACATTTACCAGCTATCACAGTGTCTTCTAGAGCGGGGCCACAAGGTCATCGTTGTCACCCATTTCTATGGAGACAGGAAGGGAGTGAGATATTTGACCAATGGACTCAAGGTAACTAATAACACACTGATCAATTTAGGATAGAGTAAATGAAATGACACCGACTACATGTGCTTAAATCAGATCGTCTTTCCAATGAGTTGAAATGTAAAAGCCTGATATAGTGAATCTGACAAAAAAAACACATTTTTGAAAAAATATATAGTGTATAGATGGCAATTTTTATGAGTAAAAGTTTTCAGTATCTTCTTTTAAGAGGAACAAATTATATTTAAAAAAATTGAAATTTCACAATCTGGATGTGAAAGGACATATAATGCAAATTTGTTGCATTGTTTTCATGATCACATTAATAAACTACGAAATAGCGAAAATATTCCCAAGAATATCACCAATTAAATATTATCAAATTGAAACAGATAATGTAATGTGGTGAGTATATGTGTTATTACAGATTTATGTGTTTACTGAAGATGGGGTTCTATTCATTTTGTGTGTTATGAACATTAAAACACTTAATGCCATACCTGAACCAATGTTGTGTAGCAAAGGCTAGTTGTGCATGGATATTGGAAAATCCTGACATGTCTTCATGTTAGTTCATGCTAGTTAATTGGTACTAATCAAAACTTGCTGTGGTGTATTATATACTGTATTTGTGCTTTTTAGCTAACCATGGTCTTTTATATACAATATTAACACTTACATCAATATTGAAAAGGTTAATATTTTATCGCAGTTCAGTTTTTGTTATCATCAGTTACAACATCGATTTTTTTTTATCTTGATTCCAATTTCTTTTGAAATAGTACTAAATTTATCACATTTAGAAAAGTTATAACGTTTCAGAATGATTTTACAGGTGTATTACCTGCCATTTCCAGCCTTCTACAACCAGTGTGTCTTGCCAACAATTTTCACTACATTTCCATTACTGAGAAACATCTTTATACGTGAAAATATCACCATTGTCCACGGCCACTCAGTAAGTTGTATATACAATGTGCTCAGAAGGTAAGATAAGAAATTAGAATGACTTTTTCCTTTTTCTTGTTGTATGATGAAATCAGACTTTTTTTAGATTACCTGGTCCAAACAGCCAAATGAGCTTATGCCATAGCACGGCGTCCGTCCGTCTGTTTGTCATCCGTCCGTCCTGCATCCGTCAACTTTTCATTTAAACAACTTATTCTGAAATACCAAAAGGCGTTGAGTTATCATGTTTGGCTGGAAGGTTTCTTTGATGAAGCCCAACAAATTTGTTGGGAAAAAAAACCTTGACCCATATTCAAGGTCAAATGTGTAAAAAAATTTAAGCAACTTCTTTCAAAATACCGAGAGACCTAGAATCATTATATATGGCTACTATGTTCCTCTTATGGTGTCCTACAAAGTTTGCTAAAAGAAATTACCTTGACCAATCTTCAAGGTCACAAGGGTCAAATTTGTTAAAACATTTAAACAATTTTATTCTGAAACATCTAAAAGCCTAGAATCATTTTATTTGGCCAGTATGTTCCTTTTATGAAGTCCAAGAAAGTTTGCCAAAAAAAATGACCTTGACCCATTGTCAAGGTCACAAGGGTCAAATTTGTTAAACCTTTATATGACATTTTCTGATCATTCAAAACATCTAGGATAGTGATATTATTCTAGAATAGGTTCTCAATGATGCCTGGTAATATTTGTGAACAGAAAAGACCTTGACCTGTATCCAAGGTCACAACAGTCAAATGTGTTAAACCTTTGAACAACTTCTGATTAACCTAAAGGCCTAGGATCATAATATTTGTCCAAAAGGTTCCCTTAATGGTGCCCACATAGTGTGTGAAAAAATAGCTTGACCCATAATGATATTTAAGGTCACTGGGGTTAAATTTGGTAAAATCATTAACAATATCTGATTGACCAAAGGCTATCATATTTGGCTAGTAAAAGTTTCACAAAGGCTTATATACAAATATGTAGAACCTTCCAATGACTTATTAAAGGAATATATTTGGCTGGGAATTTTCTTGGCATAAATTTGAATAAATTATAAAGACCTTTCACAGTGATGTCACACTGTTCCAAAAAATAGATTAGGCCAAGCTCCCTGAAGGTCTGAGAGGCTTGAGCTAAGTAATGTGAAAAACTACATGTTAGCCAATTACTTATGTTCTATTTACAGCATTAAAATACAGAAAACATGATCGGAAAGAGAATTGCAAGAGCTTCATTTTGATTTAAGATTCTTCATAATTATAGCATAAATGAATAAGAAATTCCAAGTTGATCCCATTTGCTATGCAGTGTTTATAGGCCTACAGTTAACTGTTATCAGTATATCTCCAGTAACCGGGGCTTAACTCACCATGGTGACATCACTAATGATATGCATGAAACGTTTTATTATTGGTTTTGAGTTAGGATTATGGTTTATAATTACATGTACCTTAATTTTTCCTGTCTTTATATTTAATAATTGCTATATATTGTTGACTTGTGCAAGTCAAAAGTATGTTGTATCTGTGTTTGTAAACAATGATCTAAAGGGCAAGTAAGCTTCTGCAGTCCTGGGTCATCCGTCCAGCTATAACTAAGAGTTTTTCTGTTATATTGTTTGACCATCTTCTTTCCTTGATTTAAAAGAAAGCTATCAATTATATTTAACTAGAAACATCATAACAAAGTCTCAATTCAACATTTCCAAGATGTAGGGGGGGGGGGGCTGACTACTAAGGGACAGAACCCATATGGAGTAATTTGTCATATTGCTTTAAACATCTACTGTGGAACATATGCACAGATATAGTACTGTTGGTCATAAAGATCCAGGTGAGCGATACAGGCCCTCTGGGCCTCTTGTTCTTTGCATTTCATTCTCAGGTGGTTTCCAGATATGCTGTATTGGCAGAATAGTGCATTCTGAAATCATGGCTGCTTTTGTTTATCTGTCTGACCATTAGAACCAGGGATGTTGGTTTTTTAATCTTATTTTGCTTTCTCTCAAGTCTTGACAAAGTCTTTCATCCAGGCAGGTGTCTGAAATACTGTTTTTCAAATGTTGACAGACTGGTTTGTCTAGCCTTGGTGTTGTTACCCACTATGTACAGAGTTATGTCCCTTTGACTTGTTCAAAGGACAACCCTGTTCAGAAGCAGTTGATTGTTTACAATACCCCTTGATCATACAAATATATATCCTCTCTATACAAAATCTCCATGAGGTATAAAAAGTAGTGTACTGTTTGGCACATATTTCTTATATATACATGTGGCTTGATGTTATTGAGAAAATTCACTGCCATGAATATGACCTTGTATAATCTAGAAAAATAGTTGTTTGAAAAAGGACTCTTATTTTTCATGATTGGTATATTTCATACCCTTGAATCTGAACCACAATTATGGATTGGTTGTCACACCTCTTTGTGAATGTACGAGAACATATCTCCCAATTGTAATATAATAATCAACAACAACGAGTGAAAGAAAATCTTTCCCACTAATTTATATCACAGGGACTTGGTATGAATTCACAGCCTGTATATATGTGTGTAGTATTGTCCCAATAATACATGTATATGGACCATTTGTCAAGAATTTGTGCCAAGTCCCTGTGAGTCATATTACCAGTGATTATTACTAAGAAAATATCATACATTTCGCTTCATATGTTCATGTCCATGGTGTTCTGAATAAATGTATGTTTTAAGTCCACAACCTATAATAGCTGACCTTTAACTTGCAGGCATTTTCAACACTAGCTCACGAGGCTATGTTCCATGCCAGGACATTGGGACTTAAAGCTGTCTTCACAGATCATTCTCTGTTTGGATTCGCAGATGCAAGCTCCATCCTGACCAACAAAATTTTGCAGTTCTCATTGGCTGATTGTAATCATGTGATTTGTGTTTCCCATACAAGGTTTGTAAATATGACATGAATGTTTATCTGTAACATTTCCAGCCATTGAGTGTAAGATAAATTTATTTGTTTCTCAAAAATTTCTGGGGTGTATTGTAGTTTTTGCTTCTGTCTAGTTAACATGTCTTTCAGATTCATGGCTTATTACTTTACGATAGTAGGTCAACAAAAACACTGGATAATTGAAGGAAGGGAAGGCAATGCCCTTATGTTGTGCACTATTTTCAGGCATACATAATGATGTGAAGGGTTAAAGAGGTCACATTGAGGTTAAAGGTCACATTTATTGTTGTGGTCTTAATCTGTCTCCTCAATGATGGTAGGATGTTGGAAATTCAGAGATATAAACAAATTATGACATACAAAGTATAAAGAATGTCATTTTCAGGTCAGTACATCCAAAGTCAAGGTCACGCTAAGATCAATTTATTATTTATCAATCATTTTACACTCCTTAACATATGAATCAGAGAAAGACGGACAATGAAATTTTTAATGACTATAATGCTTTACTCAATGAGAGAAAATGGATATATTTGAGGAATGGTAATATGGTGTGTCACCTGAAATTGTCTGGTCTGTAGGCCCAGGGTCAAGTCACATTGTGGTTAAAGATCAAATTCATTGTCAGTGCAACAATTTCTTACTCATCAATGTTAGGTCATTGAAAAATAATCCTTACTTAAATAGGTTCATTGCTTGTTCTGGGTTTATCATCCTATGAACTCCAGAAGCCATTTTGTGGCTGGGTGTCTTTGTAGTAGCAGGTGACTACGTGTACATCACAGAGTAGTATATATTATAGGTGGAACAAATGCATGCTATTCAAAGCAATAGAGATTAAATGGCTTGCCAGAAGGACAATTGTATACAGGATAACCTATGCCCTCCACTTCCTCAGAACACAAACCAATCAAAATAGGCACTGCACTAGGCACCACAAATGTGAAGGCTTTGTTGAAATCACTTCCTCAATTGAAATTCAGACTTGTGCTATAGTTAAGATGGCTGCTATGACTGCCATCTTGTTATTCTTCTTAACCAACAGTTCAAGATATTAATTTCAACTTCTGAAAACTGGTAAATGATTTTTCAAGCAGTCCTGTGAAAACAGTCATGTAACATCGTAAAAAATTTTGACACTAATACAGCTCCATTTCCATTAGGGGTTGATCATCAAAGCATTTTTTTGTATCGAAGTAAAAACGAAACATAACCATTAAAAAATCATAAACTTTCAAATTGGCAAAAATTAATCGTTATCTAGTAAAACTTCATGAATCAAAAGTTTCAAAAACAATTGATTGGCAGGATTTTTCAGTCATTGTCAAAGATAAATATAATTGTGTGTATTATAGTGACTGTAATTGCTGATATTGGTTGACAAAGTGAAGATACCAGGCCCCACTTGTATAAAACATCTCAACTTGAGATTTCCTCAAGTCGAGATTTTCCTCAGCTGATATATCCTCAAAAACGGCTTGTATAAAACAGGAGGAAATCATTGGCTAGGATGTCCTGAAATTCCTTGAGGAATTTTCATACAATATATTTTCCATGAGATATTAGCTGAGGAAAATCTGGGCTTGAGGAAATCTCAAGTTGAGATGTTTTATACAAGTCGGGCCTGGAGATGTTAGAATGCATCCTCCAAGTTCTATTTATTTTTATTTTATAGTAAAGAGAATACAGTGCTAAGGGCCAATCTACAACCAGATGTTGTGTCTGTTATACCCAATGCTGTGGATGCCACCATGTTTGTACCAGACCCATCCAAACGACACCCAGGCAAAAGTAGGCAACTGCACCTACATCAATTTTTCCATCTCTAAATTGGTGATTGTTTATATTGAGTGCTGCGAACACTTTATGGTTTCATGTGTAAAAATTCAAAGTGATTTAAACTTCATAAAGCATTAGAGTATGTAATGTGTCCATAAAAAACTGACCAAGTTATAGGGTTTGATTTCCCGATTGGATGTGAATTGGGTTAGTGTCACCTGACCAATCACAAGGGGTTTTACAGGTGAATTTGGTTCACTTCAACACTGAGATGCCAATCTCTCAGGTCAACAAGAGTGATTAATAGTAATAGCTAATGCGAAGCAACTTTTTTCTCAGTTTATGTACATTAGGTTGAAAAAACAAAATGTAAATTTTCTTTAAATGATACGAATTGAATCAAATATGTAGATTCTGGTGAAACTGGAAGATTTGATGTGAATGGAATATGTGGTAAAAAAATGGTATTATACAGAAACATTATTGACTAGTTTTGTGGCTATTGATCAGGTAACAGTAGTGAGTGTATGCAGTGAACAGGGTGTTAAACTGTGATGTGTATATTGGGGTCAGGCATGCTGGACCTGCAAGAGAAATACCAGACACAGATCATGGCCGAGGCTGGACTGGGGGACCAGCTGTACCTAACTACATGGCTGAATATCATGAATTTTAAGAATATCTGCATAAAACAAAGTCATGCTTGCATATCTATCAGGAAATTATAGAGTATTCAGGACAGCTTAAAATGGAACACGTTTTATTACTGGTTCATATTTGGTCTCCAACAGAAAATAATAAAAAAAAATGAGCTGAACATTTAAAATTTCCAACATCTTGTTCAGATGCAGTTTTTTATCGTGGAATAATTCTGTACCATTTCAGGTGGGTTATTTGAAAGTGTGGCCTTATTCTCAGTTATTACGAACTGAACTTTAAAAAAAAAAATTATATAAGATTTAAAAAAAAATATTCTTAGAATATATTCCATGTGTGGCCCTCCTGGATGTTCAGCTAGTTGTAATGGTATGTATATATATTTATAATCATTTGTACCATTACTTACACATGGTGGAAGTTTTGGTTTAAGATGTGATACTGTTGGCTATTGTTTTCAGTCACCATTGTTGTGGTCAGTCGGTTGGTATATCGTAAGGGAATGGATCTCCTGGCTGGTATTATACCCGTCATCTGCAAGAGGCATCCGGATATACAGTTTATCATTGGTAATATGACAATCGTTTTATCAATTAAGTAATAAAACATTAGAAAGATTTTGTTTCTGGGATACAAGTATTGGTGTTGCTGATAGTGCTATATCTTGGGTCTCGTTGTCAGTGACAGAAGCACTATGTTAAAATATGAACTGCATATGATTCAGAAATGCAAAAAACATTTCAAGTTGAATAATTAAAGAAGCGCACAATTGAATTATGCAATCAATAGCCTATGTTATTTTGGGAAATTTGTGCAAAATTTTACGTCAATGTGAAGAGACAAGTCTACTCTTTACAATACTGTAGAGTGTAAGTCTGTGTGACTCGTGTCATCAGTAATTACTCAAAGTGGGATACCTGCGAAAAACAAAATGACACTCCAGTACCTGGTCTGGGCACCTGTTGCATGAATCCCTGCACAGAATCTCCTAGGTTATCTTATTTCATTTTGATTTTGATAATTCTTAATGATTTTTTGGATCGCTGTGTATTTTACCGTATGATGGCCTTAATGACCTTTTATGTGTTGACGGGCCGTTAAGAATGTAATAATAATAATAATAATCTTAATGATTTACTTATGAATGGTATAGTAAGTCAGGGTCTGATTTCCAGTAAAAGATATTATGAAAAATATAATGTTCTTAATAGGATTGAAACATTCAAAAGATTGATACGGTAAACTATGACTTGATTCTTTGTTATAGTAAAGTCAAATATTTTTATTTGACTCAGTTTTAAACAGATATATATTTTCTTTTTTAACTTATTCATGGACACCTTATTTTGTTGATACATATAGCTCAGTACAATAACTTATACTTACCTTAACAGTTCTTGGATATTATATATATTCCTGGATTAAGATTACCCATGAAATCAACAAAAACCAATTCCCATTGAAAATGAGTGATTTTACAAATATTTGATCATTATTAAACAGATATATATTTAATAAGTGATTTTACAGTACACTATTATATAATTATTAAACAGTTATATATTTAATAAGTGATTTTACAGTACAATATTATATAATTATTAAACAGATATATATTCAATAAGTGATTTTACAGTACAATATTATATAATTATTAAACAGATATATATTTAATAAGTGATTTTACAGTACAATATTATATAATTATTAAACAGATATATATTTAATAAGTGATTTTACAGTACACTATTATATAATTATTAAACAGATATATATTTAATAAGTGATTTTACAGTACAATATTATATAATTATTAAACAGATATATATTTAATAAGTGATTTTACAGTACAATATTATATAATTATTAAACAGATATATATTTAATAAGTGATTTTACAGTAAAATATTATATAATTATTAAACAGATATATATTTAATAAGTGATTTTACAGTACAATATTATATAGTTATTAAACAGATATATATTTAATAAGTGATTTTACAGTAAAATATTATATAATTATTAAACAGATATATATTTAATAAGTGATTTTACAGTACAATATTATATAGTTATTAAACAGATATATATTTAATAAGTGATTTTACAGTAAAATATTATATAATTATTAAACAGATATATATTTAATAAGTGATTTTACAGTACAATATTATATAGTTATTAAACAGATATATATTTAATAAGTGATTTTACAGTACAATATTATATAGTTATTAAACAGATATATATTTAATAAGTGATTTTACAGTAAAATATTATATAATTATTAAACAGATATATATTTAATAAGTGGTTTTACAGTAAAATATTATATAATTATTAAACAGATATATATTCAATAAGTGGTTTTACAGTAAAATATTATATAATTATTAAACAGATATATATTCAATAAGTGATTTTACAGTACAATATTATATAATTATTAAACAGATATATATTTAAGCAATAAGCGGAGCTGATTGTTACATATTTCACATTCATCACATATTTTCTGATTGGTTAAAAATATCAAGATAAAAAGGAAACATCTTATAGTCTTTCCACCAAGTTAAGAATACCAATTTATTGATTGATACCAGATACCAGCTGACATCTTGTCTATCAGAAGGCTAAACGTGAATATAACTAGACTTAAAATGCAAAATCACTTTTAGAATGTAGAAATAATTTTTATTTTTTTTTTAAAGTTGTCTGTGTTGCTTCAGGTGGAGACGGGCCTAAAAGAATTATATTAGAGGAAGTAAGGGAGCAGCACGAACTACTGGACCGTGTAACATTACTGGGGAGTCTGGAACATACACGGGTCAGGGAGGTAGGTAACTGGGGAGTCTGGAACATACACGGGTCAGGGAGGTAGGTAACTGGGGAGCCTGGAACATACACGGGTCAGGGAGGTAGGTAACTGGAGAGCCTGGAACATACATGGGTCAGGGAGGTAGGTAACTGGGGAGCCTGGAACATACATGGGTCAGGGAGGTAGGTAACTGGGGAGCCTGGAACATACATGGGTCAGGAAGGTAGGTAACTGGGGAGCCTGGAACATACACGGGTCAGGGAGGTAGGTAACTGGGGAGTCTGGAACATACACGGGTCAGGGAGGTAGGTAACTGGGGAGCCTGGAACATACACGGGTCAGGGAGGTAGGTACCTGGGGAGCCTGGAGCATACAAGGGGCAGGGAGGTAGGTAACTGGGGAGTCTGGAACATACACGGGTCAGGGAGGTAGGTAACTGGGGAGTCTGGAACATACACGGGTCAGGGAGGTAGGTAACTGGGGAGCCTGGAACATACACGGGGCAGGGAGGTAAGTAACTGGGGAGCCTGGAACATACACGGGGCAGGGAGGTAGGTAACTGGGGAGCCTGGAACATACACGGGTCAGGGAGGTAGGTAACTGGGGACCCTGGAACATACACGGGGCAGGGAGGCAGGTAACTGGGGAGCCTGGAACATACACGGGTCAGAGAGGTAGGTAACTGGGGAGCCTGGAACATACACGGGTCAGGGAGGTAGGTAACTGGGGAGCCTGGAACATACACGGGTCAGGGAGGTAGGTAACTGGGGAGCCTGGAACATACACTGGTCAGGGAGGTAGGTAACTGGGGAGCCTGGAACATACACGGGTCAGGGAGGTAGGTAACTGGGGAGTCTGGAAACATGGTCAGGGAACATACACGGGGCAGGGAGGTAGGTAAATGGGGAGTCTGGAACATACACGGGTCAGGGAGGTAGGTAACTGGGGAGCCTGGAACATACAGGGGTCAGGGTGGGAGGTAACTGGGGAACATACACTGGGTCTGGGGAGGGAGGGTCAGGGAGGTAACTGGGGAGCCTGGAACATACACGGGTCAGGGAGGTAGGTAACTGGGGAGTCTGGAACATACACTGGTCAGGGAGGTAGGTAACTGGGGAGTCTGGAACATACACGGGTCAGGGAGGTTGGTAACTGGGGAGTCTGGAACATACACGGGTCAGGGAGGTAGGTAACTGGGGAGCCTGGAACATACAGGGGTCAGGGTGGGAGGTAACTGGGGAGTCTGGAACATACACCGGTCAGGGAGGTAGGTAACTGGGGAGCCTGGAACATACACGGGGCAGGGAGGTAGGTAAATGGGGAGCCTGGAACATACACGGGTCAGGGAGGTAGGTAACTGGGGACCCTGGAACACAGGTCAGGAAAGTATACAGACCACTGGCCTTTTACTCATTCTTGATTATGGTCTGTGGAATATCTGTAGAAAATCTGTAGAACATCTTCTGTCTATTTTATGATATGAATGATATACTTGTTTTGATTCTTTTGCTGGAGTTTAGATCATGAAATTTGTCATTATATACTTTGTCCAATGTTAAACTTTTGTTTTGGATTTCTAAAAGATGTATTAAGTTATTTCTTAACTTAATCATGTGATCAATCTGTTGTCTCGCTTGCATATGAACACAAGTCCTGAATTCAGTTATAATTAAAAACAGGGTAGACTTCTATTTGTACAATAAAAATCAATCCTTTGATGTCATGAACAGAGCTAAGATCTTCATTTCAAAATTTTCAATGATAGAAATTCATTGACTTTATATCAGTTTATTAGATTTCTGATTATATTAAAGAAGAAGTGGATGAATGATAAATATGTATGTAATAAAATTGTCTTTATTTATAGGTTCTGGTCCAGGGTGATATACTAGTGAACACTTCATTGACTGAGGCGTTCTGTATAGCTATAGTGGAGGCAGCTTGTTGTGGGTAAGTTGTTGTTGAAGCCTTAGATTACAAGCAACATTATTTTAAGCATACATATTTAAATATACCAATTCTGAAGTTTGTTATTTTCTTCTCAATGACAATTTTCATATCCATTTGTCGTTTAAACTTATAACTGACAGAGGAATTAATTTTATGCAATCATAGAATTCAAAAATGACAACTGAGATAATTTTACGCAATTTTGACACATTCATGTACGAGAAAAAGAATCTGATACCTGTGAATGTTGATTGATCTACGTCGCATGTTGACATTTTGTTTCACCTCATTGGAGGATTCTCCTACGGTGAGATCTTGTCTATGAATGTCAGCCCCCAAATGAGATAGATAAACTCTCACACTTACAGGTTATTTTATTTTTTTTTTTCAGTTTGTAGGGCGCTAGGAAACTGTAATCTTAAGTTTCGCATTCACAACATGTCATGGCTATACTTACTCGAAAATTGTGAAAACATGAATTTTTTCCGAATTAAACTGATAAAAAATTATGAAATATGAAAAGATGCCTTTGTCAAGCATCTTTTGTCACAATGATGTCCTTTCCATCTTCTCTTGTCCATTGTCCAACTTTACATTTTTTACATCATTACATACTACACCGGGAAATTTCTTGGTTGACTTTTAACAGTTAATTTTTTACAAGAACAGCTTTTTCCTTTGTCTTGTAAAACATTTTTGTTCACACTTATCATAGTACATGGTATGTAAAAATGAATTAGTAAGAGATTTTCTCCAAAACAAAGGAATTGTGTTATTATCAATATGTAGCCATATTTTACTACTGGAGTCAGACATGAGTTGTCTCCCTTAACACCAGCTATGCAGATCAGAATATCTTCAAAGTGATTTAGTCATTGAAATTTCAAGTTATAGATAAGAAACGGAGAAAAATAGCAATGCAGATTTATTAAGTTATAGAGGGATTTTGTGTTTTTAAAATATTTTCTGTTTTTATTTATTTTTTTCCCCATTCTGGTCGGTATTGAGGTGTTGTATGGTGTGACTCATTTTTCAATGCTATTATACATTCACAGGTTTATGTGTAGGTAGCTTTTATCCTTTGATATTTATTTTTCGAATAAGACTTGCATAATTTACTTTAAGAATTGTAACCTTCATCTTTTAACTTCCAGATTACAAGTTGTCACTACTAGAGTTGGTGGTGTCCCTGAAGTATTGCCTCCAGACCTCATCTACATGGCTGAGCCCAATGTCTCAAGTAAGTTTAACTGTAGTCACTACTGGAAAACCATCTGTAATACAGGAAGCATAATCATTTTACTTGTAAAAGTGATGAAATTATGGGAGGTTCTACGGAATACAGAATGTGGATTCTAAATTCGCCAACATTTCACACTCCAGCGATTTAATTTAGTAGAATATAACTTTGACCTTTTCTTAGAAATTTTAAGTGATAAAGGGATCTCACTTTAAAGAGCAATGCCCCAAAGAGTAAGAATGTTTGATACAATGAAGGGTACTAAATTTTGACCTATATTCAGTTTCACTTACTTTAGTGATTTTTGTACTTTTAAATCACTCAGGTATGTTGTATTGTAGTGTGGTGTAATTCACTGAGTGGAAAATAAGGGATATTGATGACACTGTCTTCTGGTATTTCAATTTTTTTTTCACTCAAAATAAATAGCAATTATCTTTCATTTAAAATAAAAAGGGAAAAATAACACCCAGTGTTTACAGTATTCAGCAGGTATAAATATTTCCCTATTCAGTAGGTATGTACATTATATATTGGATAAGATTTATAATTGGATTTATTTTAAGGTTTACTTGCATCTGTTGAACTTGCCATCAAAGATCATCGTAAAGGGAGAGAAGTACCACCCTTTGAAGCTCACAGAAGAATAATGTCGCTGTATACATGGAGAAATGTAGCCATGAGAACAGAGAGAGTATATGACATGGTTTGTCTGGCAGAACAGAGAGTCACATCTACTAGACTTAAAAGGCAAGATTCATATACAGGGCTCTCACACCCCATTTTGGGACTGGGGCCCTTGGAATTGGGAAAAATAGCGGCATTTTCCTTAGAATTGGGAAAACTTGGGGTCTAAATTGGGAAAAAAAGATACTATTTTGCATTAGGAATGGGGCTGAATATCGGCCCCAAATCTGGCAGATCGAGAGCCCTGATATATAATGTTTCATAGGCTAGTAGTTTGATACAGAAGTATACCAACAGAGAGCCAGTGTAACACTCTGTGTATTTGTAGTAGTTTGATACAGAAGTATACCAACCAAGAGCCAGTGTAACTCTGTGTATTTGTAGTAGTTTGATACAGAAGTATACCAACAGAGAGCCAGTGTAACACTCTGTGTATTTGTAGTAGTTTGATACAGAAGTATACCAACAGAGAGCCAGTGTAACACTCTGTGTATTTGTAGTAGTTTGATACAGAAGTATACCAACCTAGAGCCAGTGTAACACTCTGTGTATTTGTAGTAGTTTGATACAGAAGTATACCAACCTAGAGCCAGTGTAACACTCTGTGTATATGTAGTAGTTTGATGCAGAAGTATACCAAGCGAGATCTAGTGTAACACTCTGTGTATTTGTAGTAGTTTGATACAGAAGTATACCAACCAAGAGCCAGTGTAACTCTGTGTATTTGTAGTAGTTTGATACAGAAGTATACCAACCAAGAGCCAGTGTAACACTCTGTGTATTTGTAGATATATGTCACCCATAGATGAAAAAATAAATAATATATCTAACAATGATAGATTTTTCCAATTTTTAACACGTAATCCTGAAGAATCAATAGAGGGTTGTATTTCTGTGCTCTATTTTCAATATTTCTCCCTTCTTATAATAATTATATAAAATGTGAGGTAAGATTATGTCCCTTTGTATTGTATCGAGGATTCTGTCATCTGGTCTATATTGAATAAGGTTGAAGTTTGGCAATAAATTGTATGCCCTGACCTCCTCAGAAACAGGAACTAAAATTGAATTAGGATCTGCTCTACTACTTGATTCAGTAGATCGACACTTACAAACATTTTATACAGTGAAATAATAAACAAATAATTTTTGTTTGAATGAAAAACGAAGCTTTTATGAGATTTATTACCCTGATCACATCCTGTTTCAGGTCCCATCACATTCCATGTGTCATGTCTGTTATGAGTCAGTGTTGTACCTTGAAAACCATTCAACAGATTTTGTTCATATTTACCTTATAGTACCTGATAAGGTTCCGGTTTGGATAAGTATTGAACCAATAGCATCCTATAAAGAATTTCTGATTTTTGTATTTTTCAACAAAGGCATCTTTTATTGCAGACTGTTAAGTATTTCTGTTACATTAGAAATAGCAGATTGTCATTTCAGGTTTGCCTTATTTCCTGTAGGATATGTCATGATAATTAATTGCCTGTCCTCGTTACTTTACAGCTACTACCACTGTGGTCCCCTGGCTGGAAAGTTGTTTGTCATTGCAGCAGTGATAAATATTTTCCTTCTCTTTGTCCTTGGAGTTCTACAACCAGAAAAGGTAAGAATCCCATCAAACCTTACCTATACACAAAAGATTAATGAAAGACGAGATCCGTCGTATTAATACACAGTTTAAACATGTTGATAACAACCTTCCCTTACAGATAGGAAGTGCAATTCCAACTTGTAATGTAAAGTTTGTGTGTTTTTCGCTTACCATCTGATGGTGGTGTGCTGTTCTTATCACCATGCGTTCGTGGTGCATTGCCTGTTTGTCCATCTGTAAACATTTCTTGTTATTGCGAGATGTACAGAATATATCTTTCTCATATTTCAATCGAAGGTGCCCCTTGATTCCTTGTCACTCTTTTGATTTTGTGTCTAATCAGTAAATAAAAACATAATGGCAAGCAACCATCTTTGCTTTTACATCTTGGAAAGAATTGAATGGATTTTTCTCAAATTTCAAATGTAGATATTTTCTTTGGTCGCTAGTTGTGGGACTGTTCAGAAAAACAAAATAGTTGACAGGTAGCCATATTTGATTTTGGCAATGAAATTTTGTTATTGCTATTACTTAAGAAGTACTGAAAGGTTTTTTCTCAAATTTCATATGTAGGTTCCCTACAGTCCATAATTGCACCCTTTTGATTTTAGAACTGATTACAAAAACAGAATAGTTGACAGATGTCTGTCTTGAACTTGTCAGTCAAAGATTGAAATGGCTATTTTTGAGAGCAATTTTCTAATATCATATGATTAAGTGTAAAAACAAAGAAAAGAGAAATGATTGGAAAAGATTCAACTTCTAAAGAACAATAAAGATCGAATGACAGTGGGCACCTGGATCTCTTCTGAAATCTCTGGGTTTTTTTCATTTTTTTTCTTCTCAACTTTTCACATATTTACCAAAAAGTTGAGGCAAAAAAGAGGCATTTTTTCTGGATATCTAGAAGCAGACTGTGAAATCATGAATTTTCTTGGGACTTTATTTTTGTTGGCATTCTTAATCCATGAATTCATGTCTATAAATAGTTTGAAATTGATTTATAGAGATATCTTTATCCACAAAAAGGAAACCACAAAAATTGAGCCCCAAGAATATATATGATTTTGCAGTAATGTTCTGTATTCTGGTCTCAACTTTTCTTTCATAATGTATTTCACAATTTTATCCATCCACATATAGAACCATGAAAATAAAAGAATATGATGTGGATTGAAGCAGGTCTTTTAACCACAGAAACTTGTTATCATTAAGCCTTGTAGGAGTCGAAGTGGTCTAACTAAGTTGGTTCTCTGCATTAACTATTGTGCAAGCTTTAAATGAAATGAGATACAAAGAAACATGCATGGTGTTGCTTATCGAAGAAAAATGGAAACAAGTTTTAAAATCAAACTCGGTTCACTGCGAAAATTGTAATTTCTTTATCCATTGTCATACAGCTGTTTTAAATTTGTTTTTGTAGACCATAGAAAAGGCAGCAGAGTTCCCAAGACAATCAACGAAACACAGAGCATCAGAAAGCAATGACACACATCAAAATAAAAAAGTCAAATATTCATGATGTTTAGATGTACTAGTATTTGATAGCATTTAAAACAGATGTAAATAGTCCAATACTTTAGGACTACCTTGGAACTGTTAAGTTTTTTTAAATGCTTTACAATCAATCAAAAATGGTGCTAGAAGTTTTTGTCAAGCTTAAAAAAAAAACAGAATACCCCAAAATTTCACTTTTTAGCACACCTGGTCCAGTAACCTTAATTCATACTGTGTTGTCCTTTGTCGGTCATCAGTCCTTCAACTTTTTCTACAACTCCCTAATAGTCATGAACAAGGTAGTGGATTTTTACCAGATTTGGTCAGAAGCATCCTTGAGGGAGAAGGTCAAATGTTAGTATAAATTGTGGGTATTGACCCCATGGATCATTAGGAGATTGGCTAAAAATGGGAAATTTTGCAAGCTCATTAAAATGCAGCATTCTTGGGTGAAGAGGAATCCATTTTGTATAAATCATGGGTATCAACCTTATAGGGCAGGAAGGGCAGAACCCATTATAGTGGAAATATAACTTTTTTTCAGAATCCTTCTTTTTCTGTAGTTATGGCAGAATTCTGTCTCAATTTGGTCTTCAGAATGAAGAGTCTGGCTGGCTCCCCAAGAACAGAGGGTTGGTTGGGGTTCAGTGGGAAAATTAATATGTTGTGCTAACTCAGGACTCGAGGTTTTTGTTTAGGGCTATTCTTGTAAAACATTTATCCCCACAAGGACTCTAAGCTTAGGGCTAATTCAGTAAAACCATTTATCTCATCATCTTCAGTTTTTGTTTAAAAGTACTACCCATAGAATTCAACTGATAATTTGCTTCAAAGTAACAGGCTGCAAATCAAGGCATGGATAGAAAGGATGTATGTTGTAGTCCTAGGATAAAGTAAATGCTTCACTGGTGGAGTAGTCTTTAGGTTATTTCTTTACCATTCTCAAAGTTAAATTTTTTGTGAATAAAAAAAATGATGGTAGTATAAAGAAGCTGTTTATATTCATATAAAAAAAATTGTTTGGCATAAAATCAAAATGAGCTAGCAGCATGGTAGAACAACTTGATTAAGGATTAAAATATGTTTCATTTGTATCTAAGATAAAGCTCCTTAATGATCAAACTCTTACAGAGTATGTGAAAATGATTCCAGCACCTCAGGGACTCTAGACGGAATTAGATCCTCAATCATATTCTACAAAAATATAAATGGGAGGCTGTTGGGAATATAAAACCTTCATAGAATGCTGCATAAACTTTTTTTTTTTTTTTTTTGTTTCATTTTCAATGTCTGGAATTTGTTTCAAAGTTCTACACATTTATCATTTAGAACTGCACACCTTTGATGTAAACAAGAAATCATTACATTGTAATATTTCAAATTTGATGCAGGAAAATATTTTGTGAAACTTTAACCCAGTGAAATCAAAGCAGACAAATTCTTCAGTGACTAGTGTTTTTTTATGCTATGTCTTTCTAAACTATTTTAAGTACCTATATCAAGATTCCTGCTTTACTATGCTTAAAACCTTCCCACTTTCAATGAATACTATAATTGTGTACATGAATGATATTTCTGAAATTGTGAAAATCTCACTGTTACCACATTAGGTTTTTCTTACAATGTATCTGTGTTTGTATGATGTTTTAAACAGAATTATTAGAGGTTTAAATGATCAGATCGTAGTGTAGATGTATTTGTTACTAGATTTTTATCCAAGGATTGTTGGTATTGAAAACCATCTAAATGCAACTTCAGTTTAAGGAGACATTAAGTTTAGTCATAGATCTGGTTCTTCATATCGCTACCATATTTATCTAAAAACAAGCCCCTGCATAATTTTGCAGAATCATCAATTTTTAAGTAGTGAGCTGAAAAAAGTGGTTGACAAATGAGCCCACCCCGAATTTTAATACTAATTATATTTTAGACAAGATGAGGGGCTTCATTTAAGGATAAATTCAGTATATGAACCTTATTAGGGATATTGTATTCTTTGTTTCAGACTTGCGAGATATATACTGATGATTCTTAGAGAAGGGTTATAAGTGTATAGGTGATTTTTGATTGGTTCATTCAAAATAAAGAATATTGTGAGGTGTTCTGTATCGCATTCATCACAAATTTGTAAAGCGAGTGCAACAAACATTTTTGATGCCATGAAGCACTTGATAACCTTTATATATTGAAATCCAATGTGAAAAATCATGATTTTTTAAACTTGTACCTCAACTATTTTGAACTGAAGATATCACAATGGAATGAAGCAGTACACATGATATTTTCTGTTTGCATTATTGAACATGATTTTGTGAAAAGCATCTATATTTTTCCCTACTTATGTAGAAGTTGAGAGCACAGATCCTTTTACGAGCTAGTAGAAATTTCCCTTTAGTCGAGTGGTAGTATATCTGAATATATTTTGCCCTACTTTTTTAAAAGTTGAGAGCACAGGTCACTATACCGAAATTCAGCTAGTAGGAATTTCCCTTTAGTCGAGCGGTAGTGTCTGACTATATTTTTCCCTACCTTTGTAAAAGTTGAGAGTACAGGTCACTATACCAAAATTCAGCTAGTAGGACTTTCCTTTTAGTCAAGCAATAGTGTGTCTGACTATATTTTGCCATACTGATGAAAGGTTTGTACAGAAGACAATTAAATTGCACTTTCAATGTAATTTTTTAATTACTTACAGTTGCCAAGTAATGAAATAAACTGTATTCAATAGCTATTTTGTCCTTTTAGGACATGTTACTGATATCAATGCTTGGAGTATAAAAGTTATGAAACCTTGGATGTGACTGAGGAGAATTGAAAGTGATCCAAATTATTGTCAAAAGAATGTACACAATCTTCAGCTAAAAGTATTACATATAAGATAGGTGCTGAATTTAATATATAAAATAAGAGTTTTCCACTGATGTGTGATAACACTGTGATTCTGTGTTTAATTGTTTGTTTTTTTTTTTAATTTTTCTGTAAAAGAGGAAAGCAGTGCTACTTATATTGTTATCTGCCTTTCTCTTTTGATTTTCTCAGGTTTGCTAGTAAATCTCTATTTTTTTCTTCGTGTCAAATATATACTCTAGAATCTTTAAAATGGGCTTTGTAGATCAAATGTTTATACCATATATATACTAATTGTTTGTCTTTGTGTGTACCTGTAAAAGTAGCATGAATTAAAAATTTGTTGACAAATCAAAAGAATGGTATTAGTGGATAGATTCAACAATGTCACGGTCTGTTGATTTTGTGTCTATTTACATATGTTATACGATGAATGTTCTTGGTTTGACCAATCACGAAGTCCGTCATATTATTACCTTTAACAAGAGTCCCTCTAGTAGTTAAAAATGTGGTGATTGTATCCTTGTGTAAGACATTTCATCCTTATTGCTCTGTATGGCATGCCATGGGCCTCCTGTATGTTGTTCAGTAAGGTAGCCGCCAACTATGTTAATAATTGTTGATGTGATCTTTTTATTATACATTAATTAGTATGTCAGGCCCCACTTGTATAAAACATCTCAACTTGAGATTTCCTCAAGTCGAGATTTTCCTCAGCTGATATCTCCTAAAAAGCGGCTTGTATAGAATTTTCTCAAGGAACAGGAGGAAGGCATCGGCTAGGATGTCCTGAAATTCCTTGAGGAATTTTCATACAAGATATTTTCAAGGAGATATTAGCTGAGGAAAATCTGGGCTTGAGGAAATCTCAAGATGAGATGTTTTATACAAGTGGGGCCAGGGCCACAAGTAGACTTTGAAAGATACCTGATCACCTATTGTGGAAGTGTAAGAAAATTTCTTTGATAATTCTTAGTACATTACATTAAAACCTTATCACCATAAAGCTGGTTAATTTTACAGGTCAAAATTTTCGCAGTTTTCATTTTAAATGGATGAACTTTATTTTAACAAATCAAAATTTTGCGATCTGGATGCAAAAGGACATGTATCCCCGTATACAGGCTTATTGGTATCCCTCGTATACAGGCATATGTTATCTTGTTCTGGGATCACTATATTCACTGGGAATGATTCTCATACTAACGACCATGAAAAAAGCAATATCAAATCTGTATGGGTATCTCCCACTGTATATCCAAATTTTTATTGACCACTACTAAATCTTGCCATTTAAGACATCATCAAAAGTTGAAAAGGTGTAGTAATATTTTACATAAATTGATTGCAATATGATGAGGTGATTGTGTGTTCAATATCAAGGCTAACCATTCACAACACACTCAGGTTTGAATCGTTTACAAAATGGTACCTTGATCAGGGATATATTATGTTTCTTGCCGATGATGATATTTGTCTGTAAACTAAATCATGAGAATTTGTTGTTATACATGTAATTAATATGTTCTAATTAATTGTGGGTATATTATGTTATATCTAATGCCTTTTTCTAGTTAAGCAGATGTGTTTGATTTCCATTTAATTGATTGTTATAATTTATCGTTATGTAGTAACATTTAAAATGTTCTTCTAATTGATAAGCTGTGTTACAATACATTTTATGTATACATCGTATTAAGGGGGTATGTTACATGTACATTAAATACACCTCCTATCCAAAAGAGTTCCAGGCAAACCAAAAAGGTTTTTGCTGTCTCGTGGTGATTTGTGTACCTTTTGTAAGTATTCTGTGTGGTAAAACATGATTGTTTAAACAGAGAAGGAGAGACTGATGAGTTGCTTGTATATTTAGGTGGCAAAAATTGTATACAAAAGTAATGTACGATAACTTAAGTGTAATGAATCCAGGAATATTTTTATGTTATTATACCTCGAAATTAATTCAAGGAGAATATAGCAATAACTTTGTGTATGAGTCTGTGTGCTTTCATGTTCAAAGTTTGTGTACAAGTTAGCTCATGAACCCCTGTACATTTACCACATAGCACAACACCAAGTTCTACACCTACATTTTGGTAGTCATAGGATAAATCTATAAGTCAGCCTTGACTTCTTTTGAAATGAATTAGCTGTGTTATTAACCAAAATCAAATATGACATGGAATTTATGGAGAATAAATTATGTAAGCATTTCCTCCTTAAATGGTGTTTAACATTTTAAATGGCACAGAAATATTATTTAAAGATATATGAGGAAATGAAAACTTGCGGTAGACCATCATCAATTTGTGAAATTATTTTTTATACTGTGTATGTTAATAGATCTAGTATTTGAAATGTTTTTAAATGTAACTGACCGATTTCAAATGTAGTTCTTAAAAAAATATCTTTTCTTTAAAAAATAATTAAAAAAAATACCAAAATGGCAACATAATCACAATTCAAGCTCGAATTCTATAAAATAAGGGCAAAATATGAACAAAAGAAAGATTTACACGAGACTCCTTAAAAAGTACCAAGAGAATTAGACCAGCAGGATTTCATTGATCACTGAACTAATTACACGTGGTTTATTTTGTAGGGTGTATAATTGTACCGATTGTCAAAAGAAGCTGCCCAGTATCATTTCTGTATATTTTAGATTTGATGTAAATACTTCCGGTATAAACTGTCTAAAATCTGCCTATGCCAACAAATAGCTGGGCATTTGTTTATTAAAACAGTGATCATATATACCATGGTTCTCTGTGACGATGGAATCGATAGACCTTTTTGTATCTTGCATGTTTATACCTAAAGTAAACTCTGGTTGAATATATAAGTTCAGAACACTTGCATTCCAGGCGAATGATATCAAAAGGCAAACAAGGAAATTTTTTTTTTAAAAGAATTTTTGTGTTAATTTTAGGTTTAGTACGTCAAAGTGTTTGACATCTTTATAAATAGTACATAATGTTTTTTAGCAGATCCTTGTTTAACACAAAAAAAATTCCAGGCCATACGGGAAATTCATTTCTTTTGATTTTCAGTAAAATCATCCGTGGGCATAATTTTTGTTTTTCGTATCATTTATACCGGAAGTATAGCATTCCATTACGTCACTTCCGTGATTGTTGTAATATCTGTCAGTTTTGTCTTTGTTTTTTATACATTATTCATTTTTATTCAATACCAGATATATCCTTTATCTATGAAATTATCAAACGTAGCTGACGAGATTTGATATTTATAATTGGAATATGTAGTGTATGACACAACACTGATTGAATGTAATATTATCTATCCTGTACCAGAGACGTATATATCACGTCTCTGCCTGTTTTTTTTTTTTATATTTTTATATGATTGATTATAATGATAAGCATAATTTATAGGTTTTAATATATCTTCCTAATATGAATATTAGATATTAAATCTGACACAATTATTTCACGTGGCTCTTGTTATCTATTCACAACACTAGTAGATGTTACGGACACTTGTTGACATGTCAACAATCAGAGGCCCAAGGCAGATTTTGGCGCCCACCATTGTTTAATCTTTATTTGTTCTTTGTAAGCTATATCTTTTCATTTCTGCTCTCTTCTTCCCTCTAATTTTGTTCTTGGTTATAGGAAAATTGAAAACAGAAATAATTGTCAATTCCAAGATGGTCACCTGTCTGCCTTTTTGTTTTGTTGTTTGTTTTTGTGGGTTTTTTTCTGATTAATTTTATTTTATCGCTTTTCGTGCTAAAGATACAACGCTAAACTATGATTACTGGTTTTTGTGGATATAACATATATACTAAGTAAGTTATTCCGTTTGTCCAAGAGTCTGCGCTGAAATTTGATGATACCGTTTAAAGCACGTTTACAGTTATCAATTCAGTATTTTGCAAGAAATCGCATTTAACAATGAATGATTTCAGAGTACACCAAAACAATAACATACATTATTTTCAAACAATTAAATATATTATTTTTGTTGTAAAACCTTTAACGTGTACTACCTATGACGTATTAAGTGACGCAAGTAACTAAAGCATCATGTTAAGTGGTATGTGTAACTACAATCGTTTATGCATTTGAATTAAGTAATGAACATCAGTATAAACAAAATTTCTATGAATATCATATAGTCCACCGTTCAGAGTAAGCATTTGTCACCATACAAGCTTATTAGCAGGAGATGACTTGCTGTATAATCGTATATTTTCGCGGGGATCATATTTCGTGGTTTTTCAAAAATGTACATTTCCGTTGGGTCTTGATTTCATGGGTAGATCTTGCCCACGAAATTTTCTAGTATCATCAACCATGTCAACTTTTATCTCGTTTCCTACACAGAAAAATCCTAGAATGCAAATTAAGAATTAAGTTAAAATAAATCCCCTCGAAAATCAATGTTTACTTATGTGGAGATATGTAGAGAATATGACCAAAGCCGTTTTTAGGTCGCCAGAGCCGTCATGATTTGTCTGTCGTCGTGCGTCGTTAACTTTTCACATATTCGACTTCTTCTCAAGAACCACTGAATGGATTTTGACCAAACTTGGCACAAAGCATCCCCATGGGAAGCCTCTTCAAGTTTGCGAAGAAAAAGGACGTGGCCCCATTAGGGGCCTCAGGAGGGGGAAAAAGGGGGTAAAATTAGGTAAATCTTTGAAAATCTTCTCATGAACCAACAGTCAGATTAAATTCATATTTGATATTTATGGTCCATTTGGCAAGGTCTACAAAGTTTGCAAATGAAAAAAAAAATCGGGTCAAAAACGGCCCCACTAGGGGGCGTTCAAAATGGTCGAAAATTCAACTTTGACCGATTTCAACCAAATTTGGTAGACAGCATCCCTTAGTGAAGGACATATGAAATTATGTTTCAAAAAGTGATTATATCCCCTTTGGGGCCCATAAGGGGTGTAAAAGGGGCCATATGTAAAAACCTTCATTAAATGACTACTTCTTAAGAACCATTGAATGGATTTTGACCAAACTTAACACAAAGCATCCCCATTGGAAGCCGCTTCAAACTTGCGAAGAAAAAGGGCGTGGCCCCAATAGGGGCCCCAGGAGGGGGAAAAAGGGGAAATTTGATACGAATGTTCTACACAAGGTCCTGGCAAGTGTTTTAACTTTTTTTGGGCGATTCAAAATCCAAGATCGCCACCCTGGCCTCTTTTTGGCTAAGAGATTTTGGACTTCCTCTCAAGAACCACTGGGTGGATCATGTTCAGACTTGGTACAGATGTTTTACACACGGTCCTTCACAATATTTTAAAACCCCCAGATTATTGACATATATTCCTCAGGTGATCGTTAAGGCCCCTTGGGCCTCTTGTTATATACACGACAGATCTTTTCCCCAAAAGGTCAGACAACTCTTCGACTGACTTATCTATACATTAATTCCTATTAATCTGCACGGGAATCTCATCATAGTACGTTTCCTAACACGCATTCAGAAGCCAAATTAAATTGATGACTCTCTTTCTCTACAGCTGTTTGGCTACTGTAATGCTATACCACACATTCATAAACTCATTGTATACAAGCTGTTTCACAAGTATCTGAAGCAGGAAACGAAAATCTCAAAAGCAGATTTTTAAAAAAGAAATTAAAAAATTAAAACAGATAATGTTCCTTTCGTATCTGTCAGTACAACAGAATACAATACAATTTTATTGGAGTGTCATACGTAAAACTAATATGAAATACAATAACAATTTGCAGATTACGCCAAGCCATTTCCAACCAGTTAAAACAAAATTGCTCATACCTACACGCTTGACATGTTAAATAAACAATAAAATAAACACAACCTAGTTCTACAAAGATAAAGATATATTGTTTACTTTTTTCTTTACATTAAGTCTGCATAAAGTACATGTATAGAACTGCAAAACATCAACACACAAACAACACATTGTTATTGAATCTTGTGTAAAATTGAGCTGCTGCAAGAGTTTTAGGTTCATTGTTAAATTTAAATAATATGCTTTGTAACGTTAGTTTTCATTGTCATAACAAACGCGTTCATAGTTTGATATACGTGAAGGAAAACTAATAAATTGAATAGATGATATATACAATGTGCAAGAATCTATGAAATATTTATATAAAATGTACAATTTTCGAAACCAAGTAGAGTATAAATACATCACGACAGATTCGCTGATGATACTAAGGTTTCCGTAATAACGTGTGTCATATCTTAAACAGTTAAATAGGTTTCCGTACTAACGAGTGTCATATCTTAAATAGTTAAATAAGTTTCCGTAGTAACGAGTGTCATATCTTAAGACATAGTTAAATATGTTTCTGTAATAACGAATGTTACATCTAAACAGTTTTGGGATTCACATGCATTATAGAAATGATCAAATATCAATTCTGTTGTTTTGATTGACTCATATTAAAATCGATCAATATCTTTCTAAAACGCTGTCGCATCATAATCAGGGGTTGGTTCCACTGCACGGTCGTACTCGTCCAGCTGGTCATAGTCTTCCTTAGGAGACATGGGATTGTCATCACTGAAAAAACAATAAATTGCACGAAGTTGTCACAAGCCATAAAACAACAAAGAGGTACAAAATCAGCAAGAAGACACCATTGAAAATCAACAAACTGATACAAAGTTGTCAAGAGGAAGTCATGAACAAACAAAATGGTACCAAATTGTCAAGAAGACGCCTTCAAAAAAACAACAACACATTAATATATTGACATTAGAACGGTGACATTAGCTTTTTTTCTAGATTTTTTCTGACGGATCCAGAGAACATTCAATATTGTATCAATCTTAAATCACTTTGTGATAAAATATTTGTCGAAAGATATCGCAGTCATGCAGGAAAATCACGTGATAAGAATTTGCACATCCGTGTCCCCAAGACCACAGGTGCATGTCTGCTTTGGAGTTAAGCAAAGAAACTTTCATTGGATGATCGTAGGAAACGACATCACTTGGTCTCTTGATATTTTCTCTTTTCTTAAAAGGTCTTTATTCTTTCCTGGTGTCACTATTGGTATTGTCAGTTTAATGTGACCAGGTTTGTTGTCCTGCTGAGAGCCGTCGACAGTGTTTTTAACTCAGATAACACCATACCATCGGCTTCACACGGATATATGCATCAACCTTTTAAGAATACATGCACTCACTCGCATACAACGGTCAGCCGTCCTTAAATGAGAACACATTAAGCAGTATAATCCTAACCAAACCACTTTTACACGAACGAAAGTACCGTTCGTCTGCTTCAACCAAATCATAGATTAGTGCATTTTGTTTCAATCACTTTTCACAAAACACGAAATCGATAATGTGACGACCTAAGTAATAGTGCTTGGATAGTTTAGCAACTGGACTGAACAGCTGGGAAAAATTGAATTACCGAGACTGAACATTGTGACAACCTGATCAGTGGAGACTGGACTGAACAGTGTGACGACTGAATCAGTGGTGACTGAACAGCTGGGCAAATTTGAATTACCGAGACCGAACAGTGTGACAACCTGATCAGTGGAGACTGGAATGAACTGTGTGACGACCGGATCAGTGGTGACTTAGTGGGACAATCGGATTAAAGAGACTAAACAGTGTCACGACCTCATCAGTGGTGACTTAGCGGGACAATCGAATTAACGAGACTGAACATTGTAACAACCTGGTCAGTGGAGACTGGAATGAACTGTGTGACGACCGGATCAGTGGTGACTTAGTGGGACAATCGAATTAACGAGACTGAACAGTGTGACGACCTGATCAGTGGTGACTTAGCGGGACAATCGAATTAACGAGACTGAACATTGTAACAACCTGATCAGTGACAACGAACAGGTGTATGTATATGTAATGTAGTGTACAGTGTAACAGTAACCCAGGCGACGCAGACGACACAAATCTCGCTGCGGTTCAGCCCTGACTTATGCACAATAAAAAAATAACCAATAATGTGACGTTTGATCAAAATTCATGAACAAATGAAGCCACTAGATGTTCGTAACAGTTTTCTTAAAACGATCATGGTGATATGACCTTAACCCTTAAATCCTGAAATTTCAACCCGTGCATGCAGCACCAGATTGATTGAGATTCTTCCATGAATTGCATGCTGTTAGAGCTTCGACGAGGATTTTCTAAAACCAAAAAATATGTCCGAGATACTGGCCCTTCATAGGTGTTGAAAGCTTGATCAAAATCACTTTAATGTTGAAGTAGTTACAGAGCACTGAAAATGGTCGGGTAAACACAAAATATCACTTACAATTCAAAGTCAAAAGATCTGTTGTACTCCCCGTTAAACCTCTGAAAACGAAAGAAAAATAGGATTTAAATATGGAAGATTGGACACGTCCGACATCCTCCTCAACTGCCATTTTCACATTCATAAGTTCCATATCTCGATTCGGATAAGTAGATGAGTATTTTTCCAAAATTCATAATATTAAGATAAGATTTACACATAATCAACGTGTCATTGTCTCGTTTCACAATACAGTCTAATAAGTGTGTTAAATTACATTTGTCATATCTTGATATACTTACATTCTTGCTTAGCCGCTGATAACGTTCAGTCCTCGTGTCATAATGTTTATCCATCGACGACAACCGTTTTTGGGACATTTCATATTTATTGAGAACTTGCTTGTTTCTATGGAATATACAATTAAGATTTTTATAGCCAAAACATTTTCTACAATGTTACTATCATATGCTTGTTAACATTTTCAAAAGGTCTAGGCATTAAATATGGCAATGTTTGAACGAACAATATAGAAAAAACGTAAAATGAAAATATTGTCATCAGGCAAGGTATGAAAGAAAACGTAGATCCTATGGAGGCTTGGGTGTTTTCAAAGAAGACATTGTATTAAGTATACAAACACTTGATTTCAATTTAATAAGCCCATAGGAAATCTTTTTTCATATCGTTAAGATCAATATCTTACCTTGAGAACATGATTAGGAAGCCAGAGACGAGTGCCAACAACAGACAGGCAGCGACACTTATTGCTGCATAGAGTGGAATTTCGTACGGATCGTCCGTAGAACGAGCTGTTTCAGGTGAACATTTTTCATTTTCCTCACCCGTCAAAGTAATATCGATGATACAGGACCTATCAGTAATTGTGAGATATTTGATTGATAATTATTTGAGACTGACAAACGTTTCCGAACTTCCAAACGGTAATATTGGCAATTATTTCATTTAGCTGATCAAAAACTTCACCATAAATGAAGTGTAAATATATAATGATAAGAAATCAAATGTGATTTACATTTTGACGGAAAAATATGATGATAAATTCCTCTGCAGAGATCCAGTTTTGAATTTTCAGATTTATAATATTTTGTTGATAATTTTTATTTCTTATTAAAATATTTATTGAATTTTAAAACTGCTGTTCTGATTTAATGATGTATCTTGTCATTATGTGGTGATGTTTTTTTTATTTTTTAACCTAGTAGTAATTTTGCCTTATACGGCTGGTACAACGATCGCCTTTAACAGCAACCCTGCATCCCACCCTATGTAAATTTTCTGTTTCTGGATAGTAGCAACCCTGCATCCCAACCTATGTAAATTTTCTGTTTCTAGATAGTAGCAACCCTGCATCCCAAACCTATGTAAATTTTCTGTTTCTGGATAGTAGCATCCCTACATCCCCAACCTATGTAAATTTTCTGTTTCTGGATAGTAGCAACCCTGCATCCCTAACCTATGTAAATTTTTTGTTTTTGGATAGCAGCAACCCTGCATCCCAAACCTATGGTGTTTACATGTTGTACTTAATTCGATATTCTAGGGATTGTTTCCATTATCACAATGTTTGGACAAGAAGTTGTCAACTGACGGTGAAACTCGTAACACAGGGTTTCAAAAGATGTAGGTGAATGAAGATTATGGGGAGGTTTTACAGTTGTCATAGGGATATTCTTGAAAGGAATGTTTCTTTGGGCGATATGAAGCTGGACGTATTTGTAAACAAGTAAGTATATTAATGAAATGTAATAAAAGGACTGCATATCACTACGCCCGAAAAATGTCTTAATCAGTTTGCGCCAGTTAATATCTACCATTTAGTTATCCTTTTGCTTTGAATTAGTTCCTTTATCTGTATGTTCAAGAACTTCACTCATAAGCTACACGAACAAACATGTCTGTGACTGCTATTAAATAATATGCTTCGTTTGATTTTTCACTCTCTATCTTGGTTTCCAAATCTATGTGCTTTCACATCTCTGACCAGTCCAACATGAGGAAATGACTGTATCATGCAGTCATTATGGAACTGTATTTGTGAGTAAATTCATATTGAAATGTGTTATTTACATATCTGTGTTCACAATCTCTTGCAGTGAAGACTTCGACTTACCCGGACTTGGGTTGGTTGCCACCATCTGTTGCTAATAACGTCAAATTAGTGGACCTAACATAATAGGGTATCGCTTCTATGACGTCATACAGCAAAGAGATGGTACCCGTTTTTCTATCAACGATAAACGTGTCCTACAACAGAATAAAGCCATTCTAGTTTCTAGGAATCCCACAGTAACATTGCTGTACCTCTACGTCTTCTCTTTCACCCTCATACTGATTAGGTGTACAAACAACAAGTGACACAGCGGTACTGTATGAATGATCCCGTCCTATTTCTACAACAGTGTAACACTAGATCCACAACAACGCATAATACAAGCTCAGAATCATTTGAAAAAAAGTACTTACAAAGAAAGGTATACTATACAAATTTTCGAGGAACGCTGTTTGGTTTCCGGTTTAATTAAGGTTTAACGTCTACTGAAATAATTTTTCTATTTACTGATAAGCTAGAATACGAGATGAAAGATTTACGACTGTTAGCCTTTGACGTTAAGCCCTAGATTGATTTGTTTCTAGTGTAAACAGTCATAAGGCATATATGATATAGATAACTCCTGCTTTTCATTATAATGAATGACGCATATTATGAAAGAATGGTTTTAACCAAGTCATACCCAATATGTGCTTTCCAAGTGGTAAGTGATTTCGCCATTTTTTCCACTATCTGTATCCACAGCATGAAATGACCCGATTTGATATCCTTTCTTTGCGCTGAACGGGATTGTGGCTTTGTACCTACCTGCAATAAATAATTTAATGATCATAAAAAACTCATGAAACAAGAATATATCCATTCATGATAAATATGTGTCATTAAATCGGTAACGAGACAACACTATAATTTCTCTCACGATTGCAAAGCCGTAGAAATACCTTGGGGTTTGTAAGAGTCGCTCTAACTGTAAAAGACTATGGCTGTTGCATTTATAATACCAGTTTACCCTCGAGGAGGTTTAATTTGGTTTCAGGTTTTACGGAAGCGATTTGCGGCCACGTTAGATTTTGATCAAGAAAGTTAAAATTATAAGATAGTCGACATTTCAAGTTATTCAATCAAAATTTCGAGTGATTATAATCTAAGTCGAAATCTCGAGATAATATCAATAAAGTTTGAGTTAATATTCCGAAATATCGAGATAATTTTTTTTCATCCAGACCGTTTCCACCCTAGAATCTACGTTCTCATATTCTGCAATCCTATGAGTTAAATAATGAAAAGAAGAGTTTATAATGCTGTATTTATTGTTGATTTTTAATCTACATCCTATATTAACGTTGTATTCATCTACATTCTATGTTAACGTTGTATTTATCTACATTCTATATTAACGTTGTATTCATCTACATTCTATATTAACGTTGTATTTATCTACATTCTATATTAACGTTGTATTTATCTACATTCTATATTAACGTTGTATTCATCTACATTCTATGTTAACGTTGTATTTATCTACATTCTATATTAACGTTGTATTCATCTACATTCTATGTTAACGTTGTATTTATCTACATTCTATATTGACGTTGTATTTATCTACATTCTATATTAACGTTGTATTTATCTACATCCTATATTAACGTTGTATTCATCTACATTCTATGTTAACGTTGTATTCATCTACATTCTATATTAACGTTGTATTTATCTACATTCTATATTAACGTTGTATTTATCTACATTCTATATTGACGTTGTATTTATCTACATTCTATATTAACGTTGTATTTATCTACATTCTATATTAACGTTGTATTCATCTACATTCTATGTTAACGTTGTATTTATCTACATTCTATATTGACGTTGTATTTATCTACATTCTATATTAACGTTGTATTTGCCTACATTCTATATAAACGTTGTATTTATCTACATTCTACATTACGTTGTATTTATCTACATTCTATATTAACGTTGTATTTATCTACATTCTATGTTAACGTTGTATTTATCTACATTCTATATTAACGTTGTATTTATCTACATTCTATATTGACGTTGTATTTATCTACATTCTATATTAACGTTGTATTTATCTACATTCTATATTAACGTTGTATTCATCTACATTCTATGTTAACGTTGTATTTATCTACATTCTATATTGACGTTGTATTTATCTACATTCTATATTAACGTTGTATTTACCTACATTCTATATAAACGTTGTATTTATCTACATTCTACATTACGTTGTATTTATCTACATTCTATATTAACGTTGTATTTATCTACATTCTATATTAACGTTGTATTTATCTACATTCTACATTACGTTGTATTTATCTACATTCTACATTACGTTGTATTTATCTTAATTTTATATTAACGTTGTATTTATCTACATTCTACATTAACGTTGTATTTATCTACATTCTATATTAACGTTGTATTTATCTACATTCTATATTAACGTTGTATTTATCTACATTCTATATTAACGTTGTATTTATCTACATTCTACATAACGTTGTATTTATCTACATTCTACATTACGTTGTATTTATCTACATTATATATTAACGTTGTATTTATCTTAATTCTATATTAACGTTGTATTCATCTACATTCTATATTAACGTTGTCTTCATCTACATTCTATAAGTAAGGATAATAGTAGAATCAAAAATCGCCATTAAAAATAATCTGATGCCAATATCTAACTTTTGTAAGATATGTGATTTTCAGAGGCCGAGAAGTCATTGAATATTGACAAGTTTGATGTTAATGTTATAGAGTATTCTCTATGTAAAGGACACGTATGGAGAGTCACAAGAATACTCAACGATTTTTACTATATATTTGGAACAAAAAAAGGACAGTTGATCCTAAAAGCCACTTAGAAATTCTTCAGATGATTTCTTATATGAAATAATCCCCAAATAACACCTAAACAAAAGTTTGAAGCCATCAAAAGATTTCTATCAATAAGATAGACTATATGTAATAAACCAATAGTCCAGTACGCAATATGTAATGCTTATAATATGCTTACTCTTGTACAAGTGTTAAATCTTAAATCAACATACACTTCATCCATTGCACTGGCACTAATAATTCCTATTTGGACTACTATCATCTGTACACAACTTTGTATACAAAGCTTAGTACTATAGTAATGAATTATTTCTGAACAGAATGGACAATTCCCCCTCTTCAATGAGTTTTTCAAACCCATAGCAAGAAAATATGAATAGAAAAAAAGACAATAATCATACGTATTATTAAATTATGAATATGGAACGTAAAAAGGACTTTCATTGTTATTCAGTGCTTATCATTCACACGACTTTCATCTCGACGTCTTAAGTTGAAAAACGAACGTAGCAAGAATACGCTATCATCAGATTTATTAGAAATAAATATTTTATATAAAATTGTGATAATTATTATATCATAGCAAGAACAAGCTATTTTAAATTGATTCAAAGCAATCTGATCCAATACTAAATAAATCTTATTCCCATAGTAATATTATGGTTGATAGTGTCCATACTTTTATCAAATTTTGGTGGTGATTTGTTCAGATCCTCATACCAAACCGTCATTGTCACGAAGGCTACGTTCTTAAAAATAGGCGTTGTTACTCCAGTCGCCGTCAACTTCACCTGATAATGGAACAAACTCCATGGGTTATGTTTAAACAGTTAATGAAGCACTGCAATAAACAGCAAATAAAATGGGGAACTATTATCTGAGGAATACACATTTTAAAACAGTATTTAGCTTAAACGATATTGATCATCAGACTTTGAATATCAAAGAATCAATATTTCATTAAGGGAAACTATATAACACCGACAAGAATGCGTTCAACATATGCGATCTTTTCCTATAATGATCGAAAACTTATATTTAGTTATATTTTCGCTAGTTCAACCCTTTCCTCAAATAATCACAAAGAACTAAAAGTAAGCACTGCTTGATTTTTTTGACAGTGAACGGTTCGTATCAGGTGCACCTACCCAAAATTGATTTCCAGTTTGATTTGTAAGTGGTTCTGACACTTGAAAACGTCCCGATGTATTATTAAAAATGAAAGAACTATGTTCTATATATTTCACAGTGTAGGTGATTGAGCTGTTTATTCCATAGTCCGGGTCTGTTGCCCGCAACGGTGGACCAACGGTTTCCCCAACAAGGCTATTCTGTAAGCATTCATCATACAAAGTAATAAACTCGATACTTCAAAATCTTATTGTTGGGTCTTCTGTAATCTTATAATGGTATCTTATAATTTATATATTAACAACTATGACTATATTTCAGCTGGTAATTCAATATATTCATAATGTAACACTTTGTTTTTGACATGTTATAAGGATATCTAAGTTATTTATTTCAATATATTCATAATGTAACACTTTGTTTTTGACATGTTATAAGGATATCTAAGGTAATTATTTTATCTATTAATTAAGATTTCAAAGGAAAACATCAAAGTCTTACAATAACATATGTATACGGACAAAACATAAGAAAACGCCGGATTGGTCGAGTTATTGTCGTCATAACAAACTTATATGTGGGGATTACTCAAAATACAGGCTAAAACAATAGACAAAAATGAATTAAATGAATAAAACGAACATTATTTACATAATTCTCTGAGCATGATCATAATAGTTAAACGGCAGAAAACAATGACAAATCTTACATTTGGTACGTTAAATGTATAGTAATCTTGATGAAATTGTGGCGGATTATCATCCAAGTCGTTAACATGTATGTTCAATACGGCTTTATTGCGTGATATCCTCGGCGGTTTGCCATTGTCTGTGGCAGATATAGTCAGCTGGAAACGCGGATTTTTTTCTCTATCAACTGGGCGGATTTGTCGTACCATTCCTGTAACTTTGTCTATCTCAAAATAATCTGAAATTTGAAACATATGCGATGTGTATTAAGGTAACAATAAGCAGAAATCATAATATCCAACAAATCAAGTTTATAAATTTTTCCTTTTTCTTTATTTGTACATAAATTACACGACATGTGATGATTACAGGGAATTGATAAATGGAGTATAGCTATATTGATCATTCATTTCTTATTCAAACTACATTGATATCACTAGTTACTAAAGTTCTTTTATTATTTATTTTCAGTAATTTTAAAGCATTGTTATTGCTTACCATCATTGCTTTCAACAAATTCGTAGGAACAGTTACATATGTCAAAATTTCCCTGCTCTTTATCACAGGCAGTGATGGAGATGAGGCTTTGGTTTAGAACGTTATTCATATCTGAAACACGTCATCGTATTTTTTTTTCATTTAGCAAGAAAATGAATAAGAACAAACGAGAAATATACAGGAGAAAGAATATGTATCTATGGCAGTTTTTGGAGCATTTTCCGCTGATTTTTTCAACATGAGGTGAATAAGCTTAATGCGAATGGTTGATCAGTCTATATAGCCTGAGATAAATGACATAAAAAGTCACACTCTCACACGTAGCAGAAAAGTGACAGAGATATAAGCTGAACTGTGAAAACAACATAGATGATATGTCCGACAATATCTTGTCGTACATCGGCTTTAAATTTGTTATAGCATGATTAAGGTGGTTTTACCCATGATATTTACTATTCAATATTACATATGTTTAAATGTTTATATGTTGTAATTCACAGTTTTGATGAATTCATGATATTATCCGAATTCCCCTGACCCCTTGCTTTGCCTAGAATATGTGAAGAAATTGATTAGATAAAGGAAATCTACACTGTATTCTTACCAGCGACACGACCATCAACTTCTGTTATGTTAATGGAATAGTTTGGAGAGGGGTTATGCTTGTCGCTATCTTTGCAATCGGATCCACCTTGGAACCAGGGCGCGGTGTTGTTTGATATGATGTTGATGTATACCTGAAAACGATTATGGAAATAGTTTAATTATTACACGTATATGTAGACTACTCTCCTCACCATACAATAAACATTTCATATGTCTTTTATCAATGCCATTTCGTGTAATAGACGAGAATGGGGTAATGTGCATCATAACGTGTTCGGTGTTTCACCACAACAGTTGCAAACAGTCACGGGAGAGAGGTCTACCATATCATGTATGTGTTTAACTAATCTTGACCTCTATAATAATCAGCAGTGGGAGTCAAGTGTATAAAATTAATTTTCTTGAGAACAACTTGATGTTTGTTTTAAATGTGATGTATACGAAGATTACCTTGTGTTTAATGATTACAATGATCACCTCAGATTCTCGAATTACATTATAGAATGTCTACCGTAATATCTATGTTTTTGTATTTGTATTTGTAACAAATCTTAAATCTCCCGGCTCTTGATCGCAGTAAAGTCTGGTTTTATATAAGAATATTCCTTGACTCTTCTTTTCGAAGAAAATTATAATTCAAATTCAAATTCGAATATAGGTAAGTCACATTTAAACGGTTGTTTCCGCAAATAGCTTCATCGATATATCGAGCTTAACAAAATCAAGGTTTAAATTCAATCAAGTATACTTGAAACGATAACCTAGACTATATTTGACTTTTATATACATACCGTTGTATGATTTGAGCGGGATGGATTGCCTTTATCAGAAACTTTTACTTGAAGTATCGCTTCAGCGGAGATATACTGAAATAGATCTTTTATTATGGTGATACGTCCACTGTTACTATCAATGCCAAAAAACGATGTCGAATCTGAAACAGAAAATAAGTAACAGTGGAAATTCTCTTAAACAACATCTGCCGGTAAAGGGAGGGCTCTGTATGGAGAAGTAAATCAAATGAACTTGTTAGGATCCAAACATTAAAAGCTGCGATGTCAATTGATTAGAGTGAACGTATTTATATAAGATTTATTATTACAATATGTATAACTACATTTATTCAGATCTTTTCATTACTTTTATTGGATAATCGAGTGATCGACAAGGTGCTATAGCAAGGTAGCTCATCAAATAACAACCTTACACAGTGTTACCAACAAGTGTCAGGAAATATGATTAAACACATGATTGTAATAGAAATATCAAATCATAGATAATAATGTGCAATATGTCTAAGTGAAAGTTATGAACACAAACTTGTAATTTTACTCATTTTAAGGTGAACGACCGTTGAGGGTTTTTTTTTCGTATTTTGATATCAAGCTGGATGTATTTGGTGCTCGTTAGTTTGCTTGTTGGTTCCGTTGTTGTATACTTTGTTCTCATTTGAGAAGGTGACATTACTTCCTTGGATTGACCAAGATATATATGGTAGGTGTCGTTGATGAAGCAGAAGACGATTACTCTTCCGAATCACCTGGTCTTATTCTTTTGTTAATACTTTGAACTAGTTTCATTGAATCTGGGTTAGGATTATGATTATGTTAATATGTTGGTATTTTCTTGTTGCTTTTACCCATACCTGTTTCCACACTGTACCCATAAACTAGTCGACCATTAATGTCACTGTCTTTGTCCGTAGCATTCATTTGTAAAATGACTTCATTAATTTTTCCATCAGTGACGTTGACGTGGTAAGGGCCATGAGTCTGGGGAGTGTTGTCATTCACATCCAGGACGTCGATGTGTACAGAGCAGTTGCTACTGAGGTGTGGAACAGCAATATTGGTCGCTATTATAGTGCAGTCATGTTCTTGCTGTTCTTCAAAGTCGAGACTAACCTTAACCAAAAGTGAAGCATCCGGAAAATCATGCGTACCTAAAAATAAAGACATAATAAGGATATCAATTCTTAACAAATACGAGGTTTCAATGTCTGGCTATTTTGGGTTACTTTTGTTTTGATTTCCTTGTTTACTGAGTAGATGCTTACTGCATAATCCTTAATGTTCGGGGAGACTTATTTTCATTGATTTCATGTCTCATGAAAATATACAACTTCACATTCTAGGAGCGCTGGGAAATGCTGCGGTCATGGTCTACAGTCAGCTGAATAGTATGTCTTCAACGTAACCAGTTACCACATTCTGGTACGTCGAAGCAGCCAACAGGTACCAGTCAATAACGGTGTAAAAACGCACAATGTATCATTCATACCTGGTTTAAGAGGACATGTTTCTGGGTCCATTACACTAAAACGGCTCCTTTGGAAATCTAAATTCCCATCTGCATCAGCTATCGCATATTCCAGAACCTAGAAGACAATATGATTCCAGTCGAATCATCAGAGCTATAGAATTGTGTTGATGAATGCATAGACAAAATAATTAAGACAAGCAAAACGTATTATTGAAAAATTATGAAATCCTCTGTATATTACAAATCTGAATTGAAATCAATGTGTATTGTGTGACTATAAACATCAAACATAGCGCAAAAACAAACGGTTTTTAATTGTATTTCGATGCCCCCAACCTACATGCCTGGAAGTGATGCTAGAAAATACAATCTATTTGTAGTTTGAATAGGTGTATAAATGGTAGATTACTTTAAACGTTGACTTCCCTTAATCTTTCGCGAACATAAAACAACTATTTTTAATGATATCAATGTTCTTAGAATAGAATATGTTACGACATTAAATTTGCAATAACATATTGCTGTGAGGTTATAAAACATATTCTTAATAAATACCGATTTGAATTCAGTACCTTAATTTGTACATGAAAGACCGACCCTGATAGCAAGTGATTCACATGACTAGAAAGAATTATTATTAATTTATCCAAATGAAATTATGTCCATTTATACAACATGTTCATTTTGATTCATTCTTCCAGAAGTATAAGAAATTAAGATTTATACATAAAACTCTTCTTAATATGCTGGTATATTAAATGGTTGCTTTCAAAAAGACCGTGCTATCTTCAGATGAATCTTCATTCACGTCATAACGTTATTTAATTTCTAGAATTCAGGAGAGAGGGGGGCTATAATATGTTTTTCCTCATTCTCAATTCATATTAGTTGAAAGACAAATATCGGAACAGTGTATTTATTAATGATTAGAAAACACTTACTATGCTATCAACAGCTGAGTTTTCTTTAACTTTAATATTATACAAACAATTTTCGCTGCTGCTGTTGCTCACAAACGTAGGGGCATTGTCATTCACATCAAGCACCAGAATATCAAATACTCGTGTTGCTGATAACGGCGGCACTCCTTTGTCGTGTACCTGGATCGGTATCATATTATGATTACTTCTAATCGTCATTAGAAAACAATACGTTAGTCAAACGTTAATACAACTGAAGGATATATTTTTACTATGATAACATGAACAATATTCCAAATAAATGATAACAATAGTAACAAACACTGGCATATTTATTTGTGATAGAAATAAAACAAATAATAATAAGTACATTGAAAATAAAACAAAATATTACGGATCAGAATAAAGACGACCCATTCAGCGTTAACTATGCACTCTAAAAACGGCAATCAATAAATTACCAATGCCTAGCGTTCTCAGTTTTTCTTGACTTTTCGGATGCCACGTTAAAAGTACAGCAAAACTTCATTATTAAGACCTCCCAGGTAAATGCATTTGTAAGAACACGTACATTTATTGTATGTGAAATGACACAGTGCGATTTTCACGAACTCCTTAGAAATATATCCAAGTGAGTGTGAAATTGATGTGTGTAACAATAACAGAATACTGTTCTACATACGATTTGTCGTGAACTCTGCAGAAGATTTAGAATGTCGAACTTACTCCAATATTAAAAGTTGCACTTGAGACATGGAAATACTAACATGTCAACAAAATCATTATCCAAACGTAATTAAACTTGTGCAAAAGATGAGCAAAGGAAATATTAACACTCCTGAGAAGTCACAAGGAAATTAAGACCATGTGGTCCGAAAGCTAGTGCGTCTTCTGTTTTATCGACGATACCTGCATGTAAATCTTGGTCATTGGTCAAGTAAATAATATTTATCTCAAAGATAAATCCTAAAGATAATGAACACTTTTGCATTTCATAAATAAGACAGTACTGGACGCAGACACAACTGTCTAATAAGTCTTTACTTGTAATACTTCATGGAGCTAAACTTTATGATAGATTGTTAGTTTCAGTTGCTTCAGAATTCTTCACAAAAAGAAAGATATCTCTTAATGTTGTTTTGTGATGCAATGAATTATATAAAAAGGAAATGTTGTTTTGAGTAATACAAAAGTGTGTAAACGACATCATCCTGTCTTTGAATTAATGTTTGAGAAGTATTGTACGAATGATAGAAATCCCTGTCATAAGAATCTTGGAGAAAAGACAATACTGAAGAGATACACAACAGATCAGACAAAAGATTCGAAAAAACACACTAAGATTTTCAACTGCATATTAGTGTGTTCATGATTTCCTATGAACTTGTCATTTTTATCCGTAGTTGTGTTTGCTTATATCAGCATCTGCATGCATTGATTTCAAACCTCACTATATGTTCCAAAATTAAATTCCTTTTTTCAGTGTAGCGAATTTACAAAATATAAAGATTGTACAAAAACACACTTGTGAATAATGAATTATACAGTTTCATACAGCTGTTTTGTCGTTCCGGAAAAAGATTTACATCATTTAATAATTATCCTTAATAATCATAACTGTTTCCCATCTATAGCTTCTTATTTAGAATAGACATTAAGATATGGTCGATTTTCTATATATTCAGATCTTAACTATCTTCAATTCATTAACCTATAGACAATACACCAGCGAGGAACAAGTGACCTACCTCCACTGTAATGTTATATTGCTTCACAGTCTCGAAATCGAGGGGTTTCACCACGGATATACTTCCATTGTCGCTATTTACGTTAAAGTTGAACTGATTTTCTGTTAAGAGAAAAATATCCCAAATAAAATATGAACAAACAAAATACCAATAAATTATTTCATCACTTCAATTAAGCTACGTTTCAAAACTGTGTCAGTAATTTTGGTTCGTCGCGGAAAAACAACGGTGAAAGAGAGAGAAATGCAACAATTGCCTAATTTTCAAAATTTGCCTATATTTGTTGATGATTGCATCACTGATCTGGTTAAGCTAGCATATATCAGCTAAACCAGAATTGGATATTTTACAAAGAAACACGAAACAAGTTTGCGTGCCACAAACCTACTATCTGTGGAGGGAAAAGTATGAGATTCTAAAGGAGGACATATATTCTGTTTGCAATCTTGAAACGATCTTAGTTACATTTCCATGGTTACACTATACAAAGACTTCGAACAATTAAAGTAAAGATTTACAATGAAACATATTACGAGCGTCAAACATTTCGTTTTGTTTTTAATGTGTCACGTCCTACCAACATGTATTGTCAATCGAAATGAGTATTTGTGTTGAATAAATATGGAGGTTGCGATATATTCTTGTAGCCTCCTGGTAATAATGTCAAATTGAAGCCGACTTTATAGTGTTGCTACACTGAAACGTCTGCGGAAGGTCTTCCATGTGACATCCAACCCAGTCACATTATACTCATATTAGTAAAGTCAATCGCTACTCTACCGATATACGGAGCGTCAGCAAGGGGATAGTATCCACTATGTGCAAGATTCTGGTATATGACAGTCAGCCTTCCTCACAGCGGAAAAACGCTCATCTAAAGACCAAATGTGAGGCAGTGACATTGGAAACATAAGAAAAATCTATAGAAAATAGAGAAAATATTTGCATCTTACGGTCATACAACGAGGACAGCAGGAATAGGTACGCCCTACCAGCTGGGTATGTCGATCTAGCCTAGCAAATAACATATACAGGATAAATATGTTTCCTTTACCTTGCAAGGGCGGCTCCTGTTTAATAAGACTAAACACCATGATTCTATTTTCTCCTAGGTCGTTGTCCTCTGCCATGTTGGGAATATCCTGTGTGTTGTTTACAGTATTCTCAAAGAAACCTAACTGCTTCAACTTGGTTACGAATTTAGGCGGTTCATTCACGTCGTCTACCTTTATAGTCACCTGAGACATAAACAGAGTTACCTCCCTGTGATACAGATTAACATTTGGTTGTATTGTTTTATCACACCTTTATAGTCACCTGAGACATAAACAGATTTACCTCCCTATGATACAGATTAACTATTGGTCATATTGTTTAATCACACCTTCATAGTCACCTGAGACATAAACAGAGTTACCTCCCTGTGATATAGATTAACATTTGGTTATATTGTTTTATCACAAAATGAAAAAGTTGGTAATTTACTCAGAATCAATGTTTTGATGTCTCGTAATGAATAGAATTAATTTGAACGATAGAAAACAAAACAATAATGATTATGATACATCATTTACAGGTACTCGAACAAGCAAAAAAATATCACAAATCAGAATTGAGTCTTATATGCTGTTATATATACATTCTAAAAAAAGCAACCAATGGATTATTAAAGCCTTGCGTGGAACGCATCTTTCTGAATATTTGTTTATCTTCAAAATTGGAAAACAATTACTCGGTTATTATCTACTCCTTCACACGTAAAATAAATACTATACAAGTGAACTCTTGTTTTAAAATGAAAAATAAAAATGAGATACAAAGGAGCCAGTTAATGAAATGAACTACGCCCTACAGCTGTTTCTATCTTCGAGAAATCGTCAGTGATGCCAATGTCTTCAATGCTATGTATTTTTACTATAATGCACATTACTGTATGGACGGTTATTTCCGCGGCGATGATATTTTCGCTTTTTCGCGGTATCTTCACGTGAAAATTTAATCCGTAATGATACTAGATGTAATTATACATACACGTCCCGAAGTTCTAATTCGTTAAAATGTAATTCATTAATTTAAGAAAAACCGCGATAATTTGACTCGTGAAAACTATAGGTGGAAATGTATGTTGATTAGGAATTAGATGGCACCTTACAAGTAATATTGAATATAAAATTAGTATCATGCTTTCTTCGACTTGTAAGGTCGGCGTTCACAGGCGAGTAAGCCTGTGCTTATTAGAAATGGTGAGTGATACAATATCTAACTTTGGTGAAACAGCACAAATCCATCTGAACGTATCTAAACCAAGTGGCACTACATTAATATTTTTCTTTCCTATTTCAATTAGTTATTCAGCTGTCAGCAATATTATTCAGCAGTCAGCAATATTATTCAGCTGACAGCAATGTTTCAACTGTCAGTAATGTAATTCAGCTGTGAACAATGCTTTACAACTTTCAGCATTGTTTTCCAACTTTCAGCAATGTTATTCAACTGTGAACAATGCTTTACAACTTTCAGCATTGTTTTTGCAACTTTCAGCAATTTTATTCAACTGTCAGCGACGTTATTGAACTGTCAGCAATTGTATTCAGCTGTCAACAATGCTTTTCAACTTTCAGCAACGTTTTGCAACTGTCAGCAATGTTATTCAGCTGGGAACAATGCTTTTCAACTTTCGGCAATGTTTTTTTTTCAACTTTTCAGCAATGTTATTCAACCGCAGCAACGTTATTCAACTGTCAGCAATATTATTCAACTCTGAATCCCAATATATCACACTTATACGTACCAATGCTAGATCCGTATCTTCCATGTCGTTAACAGAGGCTAAAAATGCGTATGAATCCTTTGTTTCTCGATCGAGGACGCCGGTTTTGTTGATTTGTCCATTCCAAGGATTAAGATAAAAGGATGCGTTATCTTTTGTCAGATTGTTGTTGTTAACCTCACCATCCAAAGAGTTCATCATTGTGAAAGTGTAATTTGAAGGATTTTTTCTACTGTCGATCGATAGTTTGCCAATTTCGTCTGGATCTGGATTCACTTCTAGCACATGAAAAGTGAATTTACTACTATTGAATGCTATTCCTGATCCAGTACCACCACCACCACCACCACCACCACCTACTGAAGTAAAGTAGAATCTTATTATGGCAGAAGAGGACAATGGCTCATTTCCACAATCTGTTACTACAACATTGCAGTCTGTGCTACGCGATTGATCTGGTTTATTCCCTGTTGTATACAACGCACCATTATCATCCACAGTAAACGACTTGTTGTATTCACTACAGAGTTCAAAACGAAATTTTCCATTATCTCCTGAATCTCGGTCTGTTGCTTGCAATAGTGCAACAAGCTTTGGAGAATGTTCGAAATCATAATTTGTAACGTTCACAACCGTGATTTTGTCTGTAAACAAAGGAGGGTTATCATTCGTATCAAAGACTTTGATCACTATATGGGTCGTTGAATGTCTGGCAGGAATACCGCCATCAGTAGCCGTAACGACAACACTAGGAACCGGGTTCGACTCATAGTCTAAACTACGAATGCAAAAGAGTTCTCCATTGTCGTCCACACGGAAATCCAAGATTCTGGAGACCGTAAATCTAATCACACTATTGTTACCGATGTCTTCATCTGTTGCTTTAACCGAACCAAGTGAAACATTACAATTATTATTTTCTTCAACACAGAATTGGTATTCTTGTTTGGTAAATATAGGAGTATTATCGTTAATATCACATATCTGAATAGACACCGTCGTTGTAGATGTCAAACGTGGAGTACCATCATCTTTGGCTAACAATGTTATATTGAAACTTGCTATCGATTCTCGATCAAGGTTATTTGTTGTCGTTATTACGCCAGTTTTTTCATCGACGCTAAAGTAGCTGCTGTACATTGAATATTGTATTCTTCCGTTTGGTCCGATGTCCTGGTCGGTTGCGTTTACCACTCCTACTGTAAATCCGATTTTTGTATTCTCTGTTACGTTGTATTCATATGAGGGTTCCGTAAATATCGGTGGATTGTCATTTTTGTCAAGAATCGAAATCGACAAAGTGGCAGTGGCTGTGTGGGTACTACTGGTATCAACAACACGAAGTGTTACGTTAATGTGGTCAATCGTCTCCCTGTCTAATATAACGTTGGTAAACATTTGAATAGCGTTGCTTGTAACATTACACCAGAAGACACCCAAATCTGGAATGAGTTTTACTTCCAACTTGTCATTGTCGTCTTCATCCGGATCAAAGAATCTTAGTTTCTTGTGATCATTCTGAAAAAGTTTATTTTTTTAAATTACACGTTCATTGCATGCTCGGTTGAATATATTTCAAAAGGATTCTACAACGAAAACAAAGGATTAAATACGATGTACAAGATTAATTCATGTGTGTGACCATGGTTAGAATTGTTCTAGGGACATCTTAGTAATAATGTTTCATAAAGAAAAATACAAGCACACGGTGAAAAAACCTTACTTGTTGGTGTTGATTAAAACAACTAAATAGGGATGTAAATCCATACCGGTAGCACGTGTAAATCATCTAGACCTAGTGTTATTACTTACAGGATACAAATCATATAGACAATTAATATTCAACTATTACGAAAGCGTAGTGATGCAGTGTATAATTACAATTGTAAATTCATCATACAAAGAAAGTATTCACTCAAACTACAAGTGACATGGCGTGACGATACAATACATTCAAACAAAATACAGATAATCTTTTAGGGAAAAATATTCCACGTAAAAGCTTTAGGGAATGAAAGAAAATATCACCAAATTCTCGACAACACTAACAGGACAGATGGTGCAACATACGTATATTCTAAATCTTAAAATAATAGTTTGAAAAATAATAGATTGAACTTACGAAGATAACTTCCTGTTTACCGGTGGTATTTTCCATGACACGGCCATGAAAGGTAGCTGATGATGTACAGTTGTTGTCAGTAATAAGAAAACATGGTGCGTTGTCATTTATGTCAGCTACGGTGATCGTCAATTCTCCCATAATCTGTTGCAATGTAAAATAAAGTATTATGTTTTTTGTGATTTCATTTCTGTTTTATGGTCATTGTTTACATCTACACTCAACAATTTTCTTAAAGATTCAAGACTCTTCACTTTTTAAACGGTTCCACTCAACTGAGGTAATTATAATCTATCTACTCTATTAGCAGTCGAACACAAGATCACGGAGTACTAGTCCGCTACTCTTTTGCTTAAGATACGTATTTGACAATTTATAGTATCGTTATTTTGGTACTTTGTAACAAATCTTAGAATCTTCAGCCAAAAATGTCAACAATACTTATAAAAGCTACGGCAATGTATATTGCTTATATTTACAAATTTACAGCAATGGTGATATTACAATAATAACCCATCCGTTTTCTGTTTTAACCATTGAATGTGTAAAATAAATACAAAATGTTATTCGGCATTTCGACTTTTATTTCTTTAAGTAAATATAATCAGCTGCTTCAAAAGCAAACGAATATTGATTTTTGGTAGTGCAGGAAAACCATAAACGGACAATCTGATTTTATTTTCATTCATTAAACTAGTCAATATATTAATTGATTCCATTAATGGAATTTTCGAACCGCTTCAATAGCAGAATAAGAAAACAATGACTTTATCATAGATTATTTGGTCTTGTAAAGAATATTGAAATATTGTTAAGCGCATTTGGTTACTTCTGTTTCTTTTCAAACAGCAACAAAAGAAGGAGGATTTAGCGCAAAACAATCTAAAAGAACGTCACAAAGTAAAAATAATAATATTCATGGCATTTAACCAATGAAATTACAATGGTGATAATAGTATAGAAAAAAACCCACAAATTATTAAAAACAAAAGAAAAGGATTTCCATCTACGGCTTCCAACAGGAAGGTACTGGAAGGCTAAAGGAATGATGATCGCATGAGGATAAATTCATATGTGACTTAACGTAAAAGAGTTGTAGTATTTTCCGAACAGAAAATGTATGATAGGCGTAGATAACAGAAGACATTTTCACTTTTTTTTAAAACTTAATACCCATATTTAAGAATATCAACTTATTAAACTTTGACCTTGTCGAGTTACAACCACAATGTTCAAAGCTTTCCTTTAACATTTCTGTATTTTTTATTCCATGCGCTTTGAAACTGGAGAAACTATATTAAGAAGTTGATCACAGTTTTTGTAAAGACCGAGAAGAAAAAAAACTCAACTTGACCGACGTGCTCAATGTTTTATGTTTAATAAAAATATTTTCTATCTGGTAAATAATATGTACCGTTATTTTGCAAGAATCCTCGTCGTCTAAATTAGCTTGGATCCCGTAGGTTGCAGTGTTTCCATGAAATCCGTACGTCAGATTCTCTCTGTCAAGTTTCAGTTTAGACGTAACATCTCCCTTGAAAAACACAACGCATTATATTGTCATGGGTAGAGTAACTTGTCTTCATTACTTAGCCATGTCGAACCGTATTCAACACACATAACACGGTTTCGCATTCTGATGTCGGTTGCACGATAATCTGAAATTTATTCGACAACCACATGCATTGATGTACAGTCTGTCTATTTTTACAATATGACTTACAACCAAGGCATAGCTTGTCCTATTTAAATTGGGTTTGATGGAAGCTCATAAGAGTAAACATTAAAACTATACAGAAATTAGAAATAAAAAAAATTCCTATAATATAGCTTTGCCTTTCAAAAAAGAGGTGTCATGATCTACATACAAGACAAACGAAGGACATAAGTATAAAGAATTCCAATTAACACTAACTCAACATCTGATGTTGCACACCTTTAAACATATCAGTTAATTATCATTATAGTGTATGATAGGTTAGACTGAAAGATTGTATTCTATAAAGATTGTCGCCGATAAACATTAAATCATACTGAGTATGATTCAAGTTATATTGCATCAGCTTAAAAAAATATCTTCATCTCTAGAGGACCCCACAAACCTGAAAATATCAACCGATCTTTTTATACTTCATTTTTCGAATTGAAGACAGTTTGATACTTAAACTTCCTTAGGTCTTTAAAATCATCAAATTTGACCAACTACAATTTTATATCCACTGCAGCTGTTATACGGTTGTGCACTTCTATGGCAAAACAAGTGAAAGGAAAGCTTGCTGATAAATTGAAAATTGTTCACCTTTTGTTGACTCCTAGTTCCGCAAGGAGTATACAGGTGTAATTTAGGGAACAGGTAGCAACATTCAACAGCTTTCACAAATCAGAAGTGTGAACTAAGTCGACTTCAATGTTAAATTCTAGTAAGCATAACAATCATGACATGATGATTTTGTACTGCCTGAAACCTAAACATGCGTTTAATTAACCCTTAATGATGTCATGGGTATTACAACTATGGTTAAGGTATTACAAATATGGTTAAGAAAAAAACACAAAATGCAGTTACTTGATTGATACCATATACAAATATCTTGACTGTAGTAACACAATACTGCATAATCAAAAGTGCTAAAAACATTAAACAAAAGTAACCTTATCCTTAACTATGTTAACAACTTTTATGTGTTGAAACCAGTACTGCTTAAAATACGTAACGTATTTAACATAAACATTTTTAACACGTCGTTTTTGCTTCCAATAATATGACGATTTTTTTGTTCAGTGTGTGGATAACACACAAATCAAGACTCCACTTTTATGAACAGTCATCTGAACAATTAAAAGGATATATAAACATGTTTACATTCACTATAGTTCAATTATTTTGGCAAATATACGACTCTTTAATTCCAAGAACACGTCAAAGAAATGTTTAGTTCTGATACAGTGTCATTGAACATAAAACAATAAATGTGATACCTTAAACAAAGGTTAACTAAGCATCTACTAGACAATACACACGCGTTTCTATCATAAATATCAACACATCGCTGGCATGTTAGATAGTACCTAAATCACATTAAGGTCGCTTAATCAATGTTTGAGACATTTGTATATGTACATGACGTTAAAATTGAAGATATGTCCCACTCACGTGTATTTTTTTTTTTTACTGAAGTAACAACAATACTAACACAATTATCATAGATTACATAGACCTAATTTATGTATTTTTATATATGCAAATGATATTGATATTGTAAACACAAATAATATTTAACAGAGTCAGCTGGCCAGACCAGGTTTTACTGTATAGTCAGATCAATACCTAATGATAAATAAAACGTTAAGATTTTTAGTTATTTCAGCTATTAAAATTGATAGTAACTATACATAGCTTTTATTCCTTTATATAAGCATATAAAACGGGTTACCCAAATAGGACACTTTTCTATCATTTTTATATAAAACAGCACAATGACCTAGAAAACAGAATCGTAAAACCTTCTTGCAAGTATGACATCGCATGTACTTCAGCTGATTTTTTTTTTAACTTTGTAGAAAAGTCATACTGCGTAAATCCAATATTTATCTGGCTATCACTTCCATACATCTACAATGCGCTACAAGTCTACTGTATTAGCGTGACATGAGCTACACACAACACAAATTATTACTCACATTGAACGGATTTATGTAAAACTTTGAATATGCGTCTATATCGTCTCGTAGCTAAGGTAGAAATAATATATAAAGACCATATCTTCTTTAACACGGTTCTGGTTTTGAGAACCTGATATTTCTTAGGGTTGCCATAATTTAAATGACGCATATCTTGAATGAATCATAAAATGCATACTCTTCCTTCTGGAACATCTGGTCGTCTTTTTCTTGTAGTTATTAGAGAGTGACATGTAAATACGTTTATAATTATCATTAGTTTTATCAATTTTGAATATCGATTAAGATTTTGTTGACTTGCCAGAATAATATTGTTTTCGTTAGACATGATCTAAGGCATATATCTCGAACTTGGGCATGAAAAGTAGTCACAGTAAAGACATTGTTGTCGAGTTTATTTATAACAAATGTTTACAAATCCCTACACTCCAGATCGCATGAGAAACATATTTATCAGATTACATGACTTTGCAAGGCTTTATGGGATAAGCAAACTTCGCCAAACAAAAATATTAGTGTATTTCAAATTTTGAGTCTTTAAAGTTATGTTTCGCTGCATAACGTATATTTTAACATGTACTTACAGTTGTTGAATTCAGTGCGAAGTATTCATCGTCTTTTGTGGTCATGAATCTGAAGTTGGTATAATTCTGCACGAAGACATTTGCCACATGAACAGGCGGAGTTTGCTCCTCTGTTAGAGTCCCGTTGAATGTTAAACCAAGATTTGAATCTTCGTCACTTAGCTTTATAATCTCAACAACAACACGACAATCTGTATCGCCAAAACCGTCGTCGGCGTTGACAGTGAAATTAATCCGATTTCCTAACTGCGAGGCAATGATTGCCCGACTAGCGGTGATGACGCCACTATGCTTTGTTACAGCAAACACTTTTGAGTAGAAACGGTCATTAATAGTGTATGTTACAGTGCCGACAGTGTCGATGTCCGATGTCTGGATCACACCTATATACGACCTCGATGGAGTACCGGAGATAACCTGAAAAACGGACTCACTGCTGACGCATTTAGGGGGATTATTATTTACATCTTGTACAATAAATTCACCAGGAATTTTTATATAGTTTTGCTGAGATTGCCATTTAATGCGGATATCGAAGACAAATTTTCGTGTGTCTGCATTTGTGAAAGCAAGTGGTATGTACGATTTTTCGATAGCACCGGATCGGGTGTAATTAAAATACCTAAAGAATACAGCCTGGGGCGATGTATCAGTGATATTAAAATCAAGCAAACTGGATGATGAATGAAAACCTAAACGACCTATGATTTTGTTCACTACGATGTCTTCTGGGATGTCAACACTGAAGGTGTCACGTACTACCAAAATAGACAATTTCGCAACATTGTGGTGTCCCTTGCTTATATCCAGCTCTGTCACAAATGCATAGATATCTGAGCTCTGACTCATTTCCTCAAACGAAACAGTTTTATCACATAAAATGTCACCGTGAGCATCAACACTGAAGAAGTCACTGTATGTTCCTGTCAGTTTGTAGACTTGGTCTTCCGAGCTGGAGTACTTATTTAGTCCTGGAACTTCAGAAATGAAAGAACCACGTCGTGTTCCTTCAGTTAGAATGATTTCCTCTGTCTCCACGGAAATTATTTTAGGCTCAATAATAACCGCAGTGTGATCCGTGAGTGTTGAACCATCAGTTAAATGTGCCGATATGATCAACGTCAGACGTAGAGAACTGATGAAATTTGTGCTTACAGTTTTAGTCAAAGTTATTGAATTCATTAAGCTTCCTTCACTGACAATAAAACCTGCTGCATCTGGCACTAACGTAAGGGTGCTTCCAATCACGAATCTGTCCACGTTAATGAGGTGAATATGGCCGACTGAAATTCAAAGAAACAAGTCCTTATTCCAGTTATCAAAATTGCTTAAATGAGTTAGAAATCTAATGTCTAATAAACGGTGAAATAAATATGTGAATGAACAATATTCACTCGGTTGAATACAAATATTTATTCACCTATTTATGTTTATATAGATGGGAGTTCTGCAGCAACCATGTTTATGATGCTATGATGGTTTTACCGCAAAGATCTGATTATACATGATGAACACCAGTATGTTTGAACACCTTTCAGAAGGATGTCTACATTATTTGTAAAACATTGCTTCAATAGTTACACATCCACAACTATATTAATACTTATATTGTAATAAATAATGAGATACTCAATGAAATGTTACTGCATACCGTGATATTTCCGTCCGAGGTTATTTTCGTCCTTGTACCCTATATATGTACACAAATTCGCCTCTTTTTCATTTCGTCTTCTGATAATTCATCAAAAAACTATATAAAAGTATCTAAAGTTTTGTCCTCCCATAATCGGAAAGATTGAAAATTCCTTGATAACAGTATTAGGCTGTCATGGTACAATCACATGTGAATAATGCACGATTGAAAAGTATCCTACCTTCTGTGTTGATAGGAGCATCTGAATTGATAACGAATCGGTACACGTCTTCCAGTATTCTTGTAGGAACTTTAAGTAAAGAAAACAAAATATTCAAAATTCATTTGCTACACATTGTAGAAGTGATAATGTCATTTGTTGAGTATTTTTTCATCTTAGTAGAGTAGTGGAGTATACGGCGAGTTCAGAATGAAAGATTTTATCTATTCTTTCATAAATCGTATATGATATGGAATCAAATTTAAGGTCCAACTCTTCTTAATGTGTACGATCTCCATGTTGACCTCATAATTTGACATGCTAGACATTTCATTGCCAAACTATAACGTAACAATATGTCATATATTACACGGGTTCATACGCAAGAAAATACATCGGATATTTTAACACAACCAGTAAAAGATTTAAGTGTGACATTTCGATGATAGCACGGTCACCTTCCTCAGATAAATGACCAATGTGCACCTGAAAAAAATGTTCCAAAATATGAAATGGAAATCATATTTCAATCACATCTATCCTGTACAAATTTTTGCGCCAATTATGACGCCGTTGCAACAAACTTTTATTGTATATATCCTACCCATATATCAGATACTGCTATAAAATGCAAATAAGACATTACGAAAGGTACATTCCTACAATTCCTGAATTCGAAATTCACATATTTTCGAAAATACTGTAAATATCTTGACATTGAGATATTATTTCATGGGAGAAAAAAACAATGTTTGTCATTTGTTTCTATTTTCTCCTCCCATCACATATAAACTAACTCTATAAAGCTAACATAGAACACCAAATACTCACTAGGGATACAAGTTGAAGCGTTCTGTATATATTTTTGGATGCACTGACACGTCCAGCCTATGTCTTTTTTCACACAGGAACTGTGCATAACTCCACAGATAGCTTTACTCGAGTATTCGCCACAGTCGTCTATAAATAGAGACGAAATAATTTACGATGAACAAATAAATGTTATCAGCAAATCTACAAATATCTTTTATATTCTGCGATATTCTCAAATAACAAGTCTTTGAAAATCAAATCGCCTCCTTCCATCACAAACATTGTAAGCAACAAATTAAGTTTAAGTCACTGAGTATTTAAGAATGTACATGTACCCTTATGATGTCGGACATAATTCATTTTAAAATAAATTTCAACGTAAAATTTGGGACTATTGTGATTTTGTATACTTTATTATCTATAGTTTTAACTATAAGGTGAAAAGGGACGCAGTATATGACGTTTTGTAGAACGTTCGTTTGTAGAATACATTTTGGACGGCGTAGTTGCCGGCATGATTCGGTCAATAACGTCAACAATTTAAACGTTTCTTCGTTGCTAAGGTATTTCTCTTTGAGTGATAACTCTGAAAATGTACAATTTAATTAATTTCGCGTGAATAATCACCACATCTCACAATTTTCATTTTCGAGAACTCCGCTTGGTGGACCCTATTTTCCATGTAAAAAAAACAAACAGATCATTTAGTGTATGTCGTAATATTTAAAAGAAAATTGCTGTATTAATAAATTTGCATAAAAATAGGAATAATGAATAAATGAATAAAGCCCATCCATCCTACTTTTCTAATCATGAAATATATACATGAAGATACATCTTTCCATGCTTTAAGTCTTTAAAAAATTGAATAATAGTAGATAGATGGTCAAATAAAGGAATTTACCTAGGTTTTAAAAGTTACATTTTGTAGTTGCTTTGCAGATTAAACCTTGTTATATATCAAATAATAAGTAATTTCACTTTAGTTATTTTTCTTAATACCGATGTCGCATACTATTACCTATTAACGAATGACGAAATTCTTTTTTTTCTAAATAACAGGAAAAAGTTTACAACGGAAAGACGGACGGACGGACGAAGAACGTCGCACCACGATCAATCATTGACTGGCAATTATTTATAAAAAAAAATAATGATAACATTAAAACACACTCGTTCGAGGTTACTCAACGTAATATGATTTTTATCTACACAAGATTTATATAAAAAATCAACAAAAGAAATGAAATCAACAGAGTGATAGCGTTATATCGATTGATCTTTTGTAATAGTCACGTTGACCTTGACCTCGGCCTTGAAACTCTTAAACATTAAATCTCAAAATTTCTTTAGAACTGGAGTCACTAGAGCGATGTAATTTTATTTGTTGTTTTAAATTAAACGTAATTAACGATGACTTTGACTTGGGAACCATGCAACACAATCTCATCATCGAGTAGGTATGGTTACACAGCTGACCCTCTTAAGCGATTTATCAACAACCCTCAATGAAAACCTTACATAGAGCAAGAACTTTGATAAAGTACCATAAACAACACCTATCGTACAGTTTGCACATGCAATATCAGATTGAATTTAAATCGTATAATTTTTTTTTTCAATTTTCTGTACATGCATTTTACATTTAACTACATTCACGTAAGCGCACCAATGAAACTATGTAGGTACCCCAATGCAAAACAATACAGTGCATGTACAGAAAACACTAAACAGACATACCTTGATCTCCATTTGATAGTCATGTATTTTCCTAAAACAAATTATGATGCATACATCTTTAGAGCACTTAGTCATTTGTATCAGGAGCAGTTCGAAGCGCTACTTCTAACCCCCCCCCTTCCCTACAACAGAAACAGATCTAAGTGGTAAGTACAAATACTAAAATTGATGTTTTTATCTATTTGAAGTAAAACTATAACATTACATGATAATAGGGCATAACCTAGTCTCCATGTAAAATACCGGTAAAAGTCTTATATTGATTTTAAACAACGAACCTTGCAGTCCTACGTGGGGTCGGTTGCCAATCACTGGAGGAGATGGTCCTAAGCTTGTTGGTGTCTTTTTTGTTGTTGTTGGCGGTTCGGTTGTAGTTATGACTAAACACACAAAAATAATATCAGGATTTTTTTTTCAAAATTGATATATACATGCAGCAATTATATTTTCCTGTAAAGAAATTTCCTAACACTCCTAACGGGTTTATGGGGGGACGGGGGTGGGGATCCCGGGGAAACTTACCTTTTATATGCTGTTCCAGAACTTCTCACTTGCTTAGTAAAAAAAATCCACTCACCTGCCGCCAAAAGATGTCTTATATACTTACATTAGTCCAGTATAGCTGCCTCTCTCTTCAATAGTAATATCTGTAACTAGAATTGCTCTTTCGAGACACAATATATTACGTTGTGATCAGGAATGCCTATAATTTATATAAATATTACTTATCTGTGTTTATATTTTTGTCAGTGGCTCAACCAGATCAGCAGTCGACCTTTCCTATCGGGTTTAACGTCCGTTTGCTTCCTTCATTCTCTGTCTGTCAGTCCTCCCCAATTAGAATTTCATGGCAATTCTTATTCTGGATTAATCTCCCTTTGTGGGTTGTCCATTGTTATCTGTAATAAAAGGTAAATGTTACATTGTAAAAGAAAGAACTATTTTATGCTCAATAATATATAGTTATGCTAGACGAATAGACGGGCATAATATTTGAAATACTTTTTAGAAAACTTTAATTTGAAAATTGATGTTTGTTTGTCTCACGATAACCCCGTATAAAGTTATCTCGTCAGACTGTGTACTTGTGACTCAATTTTATTATCTAACTACGTTTTATCTGCTAATCAATATACAATATCGATACCGTTATGTTAGTAATGAATTACAATGTTGTTAAGGATCTACTTTCTGCATTTGCGTCGAAGTATTAACGCTGCTAGTAAAATATTCAGATACTCCAATTTAAGTATACTTCGTTGCATGTACAGACTGTTCTAATTTTCATACTTGATATCCACACCTTTTTAAAATAAAAACTGACTACTTTATAAACCTAATTTGAACTGCGTCTAATCTTGATTGAACCGTCATGTTATACCAGAAGCAATAGATGGCGCGACTTTGGCGTTATTGACAACGCGAACAGCAACAACAGTTCCAGGAGAAGAGGAATTGACTAGATAGATTATTGTGTGTACATGTATATATACTATGTCACATTAAAGCTGGATATCTTATAGGTCTCTTGACATCTAAATACATCTTTATCAAATACATGATTTAGTAAAACATCGCCCTTTTTACAACCTGTTTAAGTGATGACAGGACCATACTCTTCCGAAAGTCGAATGATTATGCATGAATATCGCTTTATGCAATCTTCATTTATCTAAATACTATGCAACTTTAAAATATCAATTTCGTACATCGGTAATGCGCACTTCGTTAAGTGTATAGCTGCCGGTGACAAAATACTCCCTGTTGTTAATGAGGTGTTAGAATTACCTGTTTATCGAGTTTACTATTATACAGTGTATGCTATAGGAGCTGATGTATGGCAGTTATTACACTAAACACTGTTTTGTTGTTTCATATTTGATTTCATCATACTAGTTGTGTAGATATTAAGTTTATCACGAAACATTTAATACAATAAATATACACTGCAACGAAATATTAAGATTTGCATTTATTTATTGTCTTCAACTTCAAATCAAAGTTTCGTTCATTGTTTTACATATTTTATTCAAAGATAACATTTAGTATATTATACTGATATACTTTGTTCGGAATCGACGGGGATATCCCACTTGATAACAATATCATAGTATGCAGATAATGAATGTTTAGGTCACCAAGTCTTGTAGATAAACAGATGATCAGATCATGTGATATGTCGCACTGTACTATAAAAGAGTAAGCATGTCCTTCACGAGGACATCACTTTATGTGTACCTCGGGTTGTGTATTTTATGTTAGATCACTTTGTTGTAAATCATCCTAAAATTCATATGATCAGGTGATACTGCCACATGTAGTTTCTATATGTTCCTTTTTTCCAGAATTTTCCCATTTCTTATCAGCATTACTCACAAGGATATGTATTATAATCTAACTTTTAGAATGTGTCTTCAATTGTCAATATCATATAGTTTATTTTCAAATCTTAATAATCTCTAGAGGTTCAGAATAATACGATTATTTTTGTTAAAAAACTGTTCTTGCAAAAATCAAAAGTAAGAAATTCTAACACAAAAGGTTTCAAGATTAATATCTTTTTGACAGAATGTGACCACACAAATCCTTTTTTTATACACGAAAGTTGTAAGTTGGACAATGTTGAACGACAAATCGCTCCTTTTATCAGTGTGTTCGTGTGTTCCTTCCCATTTGGTCTTTGTACCAAGATAAGTTTAAATAAGATAAAAAAAGCCTCCAGAAACTGGCTGTTGATGAGGTATGGGGAATATAAAATTGGCGGTAGATACACTTACCTTATTATATTTCCTGAGTATCGGACTGTCGTGTAATTCACATTTTTTCACAAATTGCTATTTTCACTAATAACATCAGTTCTATACCAACTAGTGACACTATGTTTATTTTTTTTAAAGGACATGCAATTTTATGACCCTGTCTTTGATATTTCAATCCCCCCCTCCCAAAAAAAATAAATACTTCAAAATTTCATGATCATTACTCTATTTTCTTTAATGATAGAAAAATGAGTCATGACACTTGTTGTGCACCACAACAATGTTCTAAGGAGGATAATTTAAATTCCTGTAAAATCTTTTAATCTTGACAGGATCACAAGGGCTGACATATTGGCAGTTATACGTGCCACGAGACATAAATCATCCATTCTTTATCATTTTACACTATTCACGATCCCTTGCTCGAATCACGAAATGTAAGTATGCATAATAAATCACTGGCGTTTTATTCCTGATTTTTAGAGGCTGATAAAAAAATGTCGTATATCTCTTTGAGTATTTTATGATTTTAAAAGTGTGCCGTAACTTATCCAAGTAAAAACATAAAAGATAACATACGCCCCCCTCCTCTAGTCTTTGGCTCGGTGTAAGAGACATGTATTGTTACCTGACTACTTCAACTATACGATATTGAATGTATGCTTTATTTAACTGCCGAATGATAAGTTTTGTAAGGCAGCCCTATAGAACTAGCTTTGGTGTTCAACACCTGAAGTGTCATACCTACAAGCACACATACTTTTATAACTAAAGTATACCAGGTATATTATTTGCTATAATTGTACATGTGGTATGCATCTCATCGATTAAAGACTTTTATACATATCTAACATGTGAAAAAGGTTGAAATCCGATGTATCATTATGCGTTATCTCACCAGACGAAAACCGTGTGAGAGATACTTACAGTCGAGAACTTACTACTGTGTTCGTAAATCCATTGTTCTTAAGATTACGTTAGAAATATGACAAAGTAAAATTTAAAATCCTGACCAGGACAATATAATCCGTTATCTATGGGATCTCAAGAAGTTCCCGCTGGGGGATAAAAAAAAGATTATAAATGGTTATAAATCGGTGTTCGCTGTTATGTCATAGGTATAAGGGGCTTATCTATGAAAAAGAAATAAAATGCTTACGATACTTTATCAATACCGTGAGAGGATATCAAAAGCATTGAACTTCACATGTTTTTTTTTTCACACATGATGAGAAAATGTACCACAAATAAAATTAAACAAGTCTTTGTACTAGCTATTGATATCAAATATGATCATATTCCTGTAACAATTGTTTTTACACAATACTTTGTTGGAGAGGTATACCTTCCATTAGTAAAATAGACAAACCTGTATATTGAGTGAAAAAGTTTTCTTTCTTGGTGAGTCAAGCTGCTAAACATGTTAAACAGCGAGTGACTGTCGTTTTTTGGTAGTCATTCCCTTAGAACATGTATGTAAGTGACCAGGAAAACATTGACACTGTGCCAAAGTGGTGAAAGAAAACTGAAAACCGCCTTATCATTCTATGAGTAGAAGCAGCAGGCTCTACATATGGAGCCATACACAGCATGCTTCATGCCAAACTACACCTGTCCAAGGTATGTGCAAGACTGCCTGCAGGAATGCTTTCAGTTGACTTGAAACAATCTAAGGTCACCATCAGCCTTGCTATTCTCTATCAAGACGACTTCCATTTTAGGGTTGTAATCTGTGATGAAACCTGACTTTATCATTATTACCCTGGAAATAAACAGGTAACAGTGAAATAGATACACGTTCCAAAGACAAAGAAGTCTAAAGCCTCCAGGTTCACCAGAAAGGTTAGACTGACAATTTGTTAGTACTGAAAATGAGTAACTACTTCTTTTTCTACCACAATCTATTTCATCATACCGTAGACCAAGTTCATCTATGGTTTTCACTTCACAAGAACAACGCGCAAGTCCACACCAGTCTGGTTTTAACCTTACCAGGACAACACGCAAATCCACACCAGTCTGGTTTTAACCTTTCCAGGATAACTCGCCAGTCCACACAAATCCGGTCTTAACCTCACCAGGAAAACGCGCCAATCCACACCAGTCTGGTCTTAAACTCACCAGAATAACTCGCCAGTCCACAACAGTCTGGTTTTAACCTCACCAGAATAACTCGCCAGTCCACACCAGTCTGGTTTTAACCTTACCAGGATAACGCGCAAATACACACCAGTCTGGTTTTAATCTTACCAGGACAACGCGCCAGTCCACACCAGTCTGGTTTTAGCCTTCACAGGATACCGCGCCAATCCACATCAATCTATGATTATTACATGACCAGGACAACGTGCAATCCTCACCAGTCTGGTTTTAAATCTTACCAGGATAACCCGCCAATCCACACCAGTCTATGATTATTGCATCACCAGGACAACGCGCCAGTCCACACCAGTCGAGTTGCGATGGCCTTAACCCCTCATTTAGTCTTATCATTTTCAAGACACACCTCTCCATGACGTCCACCTCTATTTCAAGCAGAAAAAACCCTCGATGCCAGAGATATGATAATGATAATGTGCTGAGAGCTGCTATGGAGGGCTTGTGAGAGTAACATGATGTTGACTTCTACCAATCAGGTACCAATCGCCGACAAACTAAATGGAACATGTGTGTGGCGATGCAAAGGAGGTTATTTTGACAAATAAATCAGTATAGATTCAAATGCCTTGCTTTTTATTTATTTTTTATATGACGCTCAAAACATTTTTTTTTAAAAATTCCCTCTTAAAAAGAAGTTAACATTAACCGATAGTTTAAAGTAAAACACTGTTTTGCAATGCCAGCAGGTTTCATTATGAAAACGCAGAGGAAATCACGATGCTGAAGGGATTACTTTAACAATTCTGCAATGGAGTAGTTTATGACGTACGCGTGCATAACAGCGACTGAGGTACTCTTTTATTACACTAAGGAGATATGCTTGTATACGTACTGTCACCGGCCTGCTTATACGATTGTCGTGGTGCAATATATTGGCCCCTCGCCAAGCTTCAAACTCAATCGCCATTTTTAAGCTACAGACAAATTTTCCGTTGGCTTTCAGTACACATATATTAAAATCAGAAGTAAACAACTTTATCGCATAAAAAATAAGGAAAGTCTGTTTAAACATTATAATATCGTCACCACGTGACTTTATATGTATGTTTTGAAGTGTATCTACTCTGAAATGTTATATATCAGCAAGCTTCTTCGTGAGAAAGACACGTGTAGTGTTGAAATGATGGAAACGATTAAAGATATATATTGAATTATTATTAGCTTGTGTCTGTAAAAAAAAGCAAATATGATTTAGCAGTGATATAATATAAGTGGTTGACAGTTTCGGCTTTCTCATTTTATAAATAGAGTAATAAAGTACCCCTCGGTTGAGAGGTCTCACCGAAATTCAATTGTACCCTCTCAACACAAATCAGGTCAACGTAGATATACTTTGATCGAATGCAGACCGATGTTTGGCGGCAATGTTCTCCGCTACATGTAGTAAGGGCAACCACCGCTTAGCAAAGGGTTATCAGGGGTTGGTTTATAAATTTGAGAGATCATACACCTATCTCGTCTAGACTAACATTATTTGTCATATTTTTCGTTAGAGCGCAAGACGTATGGGCAGGACGTATCTATTTTCTTCCTACGATATCCGCTGAGAAGGTACCACATGTAAACGAAATCGCAGTCACTGACCAATGCATGAAGTATCACTCTTTGGTGAAGAAAGATATCAAATTATGTTGTCAAGGGTGTAGACATCATAACCATATATTCAACTTTCCATATACTAAAATTTATTTCTTGGGCCAGAAAAATGACAAAAACTTAACCTCCTGTGTAACAAGGCAAAGACAACACGAAAATAGCGATTTGTCAATAGAAACAGAATCTAGGGTGGCCGTGCAAAATAAAAAGGGAAAGTATCGATTTGTCAATAGAACAGAATTTAGCGTGACCAGGCGCAGTGGTAACGCACTCGCCTTTCACCTAGCCGACCGGGGTTCGATTCCCGGAACGGACGTGAAAAGGTATGGGGTCACCTGTCCGAATTCATGGGTTTTTCCCCCGGTACTCCGGTTTCCTCCCACAATAAGACCCCTCGCGCGCTTACATCCGGGCCAAAAAGAGTGATTAGTATAAGTTGACATAACTTGTTTCGCAATTGTTGTAAACTAGATAAAAGTTTAAAACAACATGAAAATAGTGATTTGTCAATAGAAACAGAATTAAGCGTGGCTAGGCAAAGACAACAGAATGAGTTTCCTTATTTTTCTATAACCCACAAACAACTGTTTCTCTGTACTGCAGCACATAAGTCTGAGAACATTGATGATGTAGGGCCTGACCATATTCCCAAGAACAGAATACGTTTCTTAGAGGTATCACCGAGTTGTCACGTCCAATTCGAAAGATTTTATTTCAGTCATTCAAATCTCACAGCACGACAGGATGGTATGTTGCCTTCTTTACCAAAATCACATGAAGACATGGGGTCGGATGTTACCTTATCAACCTCGGAATGAGGAAGTGACGCTTGCGCCATTTTTCCTGTGATGTTAAACGATAACCGAGTGCAACCTAGGCAGTCACAAGATCATGTGACACTGTTCATGTTACATTCTAGACAGTATTGATTACTCAAATGCGCTACCTACCGGTTTCCTCATTAGATAAAACAAACACGTGATCGTTCTTTCAAAAGATTGCTGTAGCTTCCAATTGAAAATTGATTTACAGTTCGTCTTCCCAATACTGGAACCCTTGTAATAAACAAATCAACTACCCTGTTGGAATACAAACATGACTCTTTAATCCTAAGACAGACTTGAATGCAATATTTCTGATCATTACAACCTTCAAGTCCAACAGCTTTAAACTTTTTCTTATCAAGACCTATCGTTTAAGCCCAGGGGTAGTTTGTTTAGCTCTTTCATGGCAGTGCTAGTATTGAGTTATGAGTTCGTATTTCTAGAATTAGCCATAGGCAGTTCTAACAGTTTTGCTTTGCTATTCCCTTACCATTGGCTACCAATTACTTATCACATTTGGTAGGATGACATAAGCATATGATTAGTGGACTTTTTGCAGTTACAAATTCGAATTTACTTGACGTTTGGGCATTTGAGGAAGAACTCTAGGTTCATTCAAAGACGCTTCAATAGTGTCAAAATTTATTGAAGTTTCTTTTTGTCAAGATTAGGAATATGTAACCTATAGACGGCAAAAGATGCATTGAGATAGATTTAGGGAAAGAGTAGAGAAAACAAGGATCACAATTCAGAAGAAGAAGAAGAAGAAGAAGAAGAAGAAGAAGAAGAAGAAGAAGAAGAAGAAGAAAGGAAGAAAGGAAGGAAGGAAGGAAGGAAGGAAGAAGGAAGGAAGGAAGGAAGGAAGAAGGAAGGAAGGAAGGAAAAATTTCATTTCTAAGTGCTCATGCAACATCCCTGGATAAGGGTGCGCAAAGAAGATCGTTTTACCCTTATTCTGAGAACAGTGAATATTAAAGACATTATCAAGAGTATGATATGTTGTCACTAAACTTATCCCTTGACCAGTGACAATGATCGGCGGACCAAGAGGCAGTAAATATCTGTAAATACTCAGATTGCATCCAGTTATTGTTGAGAAAACAAATAAAACAAATAAAGATAAAACACGTGGGACAATGAATGAGACACACTTACGCTATGGAAACATACTAGAAATGAGACATTTGTGTGCTTTGGAAACCAATGTATTATTCTCTCTGTTTTATTTCTATCTTAATTACTATACATAGATAATGGTAATTTTTTTTATCAAATTACGTACAGATGTCGCATAAAAAACAAGAGTATGGAGATATTAGACTGTCTTATTCACACATGCGCTTATACGCTAGATTGAAATTATTTGCGACTACATAAAGCATAATATACCGCCTGGAAACTTTTGATGTAAAGCATGGATTAATGAGCCGGAAACATGTCACTAGATAACGGATGTAGAATAAACCTGTTTTTAGTGTCTCACTCAGTAGGAAGTCCAGTTAAAGATACTTGTTTTGGTCACTGATAAACCACATCTCTAGATCACATAACAGGAAATACAACAAAGTATAGCTCGAGTAGATATGTTGTATAATCCATCATAATGTTGGTTAGAATCACAACAAAAATCTGCAGTCATCACAATGAGGTCTTAGAATGGAAACATGCATGTATGTTTGAATATTGGGTTTTTCGCCCCGTGAACAACCCAGGGTCAGACTGAGGCGGGGTTTCCTTAGCTGGTAACTACCTCACTGTACAACATGCTGGAGACCCGTCACATGCTATTCAGAGCAATTTGTCTTAATGGAAGCGTGAAATGTTTACAGTGAATGTAACGGCTCTAATATATCCTTCGCTTCCTTTCCTATTTCATGATACGTACGGCACTCGACCAAACTTGTTACATCGGAGTAGCAATACTTATATGTATTAAACGTAATTTTACAAATTTTTTTTCGGGGCAAAAACTAGTTTAATATAAATTATTTATTTGTTCACTACAAATGTATCTACTTCAAAAATAATCTCACTTCAATGAAAACGACACAAGCAAAAATACTCTAAATTAAACGTTTGACAATTTATTATAAGTATCATGAAGAGGATGATTAGATAAAGTGGCAAATAAATACACAGCTATTACTTTGATGTCATGGTGTCACGCGTGTTACATAATCTGTATAGATGAAGTTTGTCAATCCCAATATTTGCATTTCCGATATGCATGACGATTAAGCTTGTGTACATAGTCGTGTCATTACTTTTATTGGACAAATATATGCAAATTCTCTACGTGTGTTTAAATCCATAAAAGCTGCATACAACACGATTGTTAAATGTCAATAGGCATGTCAAACTTCTAGTTGTAAGAATACGTGATATATACAAAAATAAATATCAGTTTAAAAAAATATCCTTGTCTAGTATATATTGGACCAAAATATACATTCCCATTAAGCTGTGTTGCTCTCGAAACGATACCCTAGTGGATGTTGCCAATGGCTCTCCAGTTGTGTAAGAATCTGTTTCACGGTACATGCGATTTTGCTCACATGTCAGTTTAACCGTCAATGTGTGTTGTTTGAAGTACCCCAGTAAATTCCTAAGAAGTGTGTTTAAAAAGTCAAAACGTCACTGGCCTGTACTATGACCTATTTTATGATCCTTGTCATGGATGTGAGCAAGGTTGCATATCTTACCCCAAAACTCTTGTTCATAAACCTATAATAAATCATAAAATTAGGTCAAATCCTCTCCGTGAAAGTGTGCTGCATGTTCTGAACTCAAATATATAGCTAAATATTTCAAATGTGAAAAGTTATGGAAGTTTAACTGGGAAAAATAATAATTTTTCATGAAAATTTCAACAAATATTTAAAAACTGTTTCACAAACTTACGGTTGCTGTTCGCCTAAAATATTTACACATTTTTGGCTACAAAAGTGTATTTGAAATACCGAAAATGTCTTCGAATTCTGGGACCAGTATAAATTGTTCCATGGACAGATTTTCTTTTGATGGCAGAATCATGAAAATATTTCAAATTTTATTAGCATACTTTTCTTTTCTCTTTTATATACATGTGTTACGACACTGACGAAGTTTTTCTCAATATATATAAATAAATAAATTGACATAAAACTGTACTCTAAGTAATATTGTATTGGTGCAATGTGGGCATACATGCAAGAAGTTCTCTTTCCTACGATGGCTGATTGGGGACATCGTAAATCGCTTTGATTGATAGAACGCGATATTACGAGACCACGATATCACGAAGCGAGACCCGAATCCTAACCCTAACCCTTCGCGCTCCGCGGTATTGTGGTCTCCCAATATCACGTTCCGTTAAGCAAAGAGATATTCCAATGTTTCCAATCAGCCACCGTACTTTCCTGAAGGACATAAACAATAGTATGCCTTCACATGACCGTCAGATTCATTCTCTCCTTAAACTGAATTCAAACATTGTACTTCGTTTGGGGCTTGTGACGAGAATGATTCTGTTCTCGAAGGAAATCATCATCATGCTGGTAGACCCAAATATCATAATCCTCTGTTACCTGTGTGATGTTCCATAATGTTACCATGTGACTGTTTGATTTGTTACATACCGCGTGTGATGGTCTCTAGGTATTCCGGATCAGAGAATGAGATGCTTCAAGTTTCTGTCATTCACTTTTGGCTCGGCGTGTCATGTTGTGGTCTTCATCAACTCGCTTTGCCAAAACGTCGTATTTTTGTAGGAGCAAAAGCATTCGCTGAACCATTTCAGTATCCTGCTGAACCTTTTCATTTCCGTATCTCGCTCCACTCTAAGTGGATCTGAAACATATATGGGACCTCTGAAGGCATTTAAACAAGCAGTTACAATGTGATTCTAGCTTATCAGTGAACTCTAAGAAATAAATAGAAGGAATTTGACCCTTGAAAAACATCCACTGTTTTAGACGTCCTTGGTAGGACTATATCACATCGTGTTTTGGTGAAACAGCGATCGCTATTAGCTGTTTGAGAGTCCAACTGTGATTTCCCCGCTGATAAAAACGACGACATTCTAGTATCATACCCCAGCTCAGCAAGAAGATCTAAGACGTCCCTGAAACCACGATCCACAATCATATTGTCGTTTACTTGCAGCCAAGATTTCAGGATGCCAAATTTCTCCAAGATGAGTTTAGTTATAGATGCATCGTATATACTGCCGTGATAAGGTCCAACTGTGTCTAAAACATACCCACCAGGCAGTACAATGGACATGAACTTCAAATAGTTGTGTTTTTTCTGCCCTACATATGATGCCCTTTGAAACTGGTGATCTCTGCTTTTGTTGAGGTAGATATAGGTATCATCTAAGATAAGAGTGACCTCATCACCATAAAATGCTTTGGTTAATACAGTATTGTGTGTGACTGCTTCTTGGTGAGATATATGGACTATACCAAGGTATCTGGGGACGACTAAAGTGTTAAATATATCAACAATTTTGTGAAAATATCTTGACAGTGTGACTTTGGAGAGGTTAGAAAGCATGGTCACTTGATTCCATGGAAGATAAGTTTAATTTTCGCCCAAAACTACAGAGACATGTCTAATGCACTTACAGTGTCACTTGAAGCTGCAGCAAGGTCAAATTCACATATGTCATATTTGTCCTTAAATTGACACAAGGTCCAGCCCGTCCATGCATGGCGGTCTGAATCTGATAAATTTAATTTTTGGGGAATTCTCATGTTTTAATACTTGAAGTACAATTTCAAGCAAATCATTGATTATTTTTTAAATTTGTAATACTTTGCTATGCATTCAAGTTCAAAACATGCAGCAGACTTTAATGAAGAGTATTTGACCCAATTTGATTATTTATTATAGTTTTTCAAACAAAGTTTGGGGTAAGATTTGCACCCTGGCTTACACCCATAAGAAAAAATCATGAAATAGGTCATAGTACGGGCTATCGGTGACTTTGTGATTTTTAAACATACACTCTTTGAGGTTTACTAGGGCACTA